ACGGGATAGCCTTGTTGTTGATCGAAGGATACTTGAGCAGGGGTCTGGTAAGAGCCATTCTACACATATTAGCATAATCCAGACGAGCCGTAGAAAAGAAAAACTCACGAAAGGAGCTTGCGCTTGCGTCTCGGTGTTCGCAGCCGCAGCGGGATCAACACCTCCATTGGCAGCAATCTCCTGCTTCCTCTGTCGAAACTCGGCCAATCTCTTCTTCAGCTCCTCCGGCGACTCAGTCTTGATCTTCTTTTGCGCATGTCCCTGTCCCGGTAGCGGATTACCCGTAGCGATCTGTCTATCCTTCTGCGCCTGCTGAAAGTTCTGTAGAATGCGATTGCGGTGCTGATCGAGCATGTCCTGGGGGATACCCTCCATACCAAAAATCTCCACCTCAAGACCCTGTCTGCTCGGGAGGGCATTCTCGACCTGTGTGAGGTTTTCTTTGTGGACTTGGTTCATGTGCACGGAGAGACCTGTGTTGTCAGCGCGGGCTTTCGCGAAATTCGGATGATTGGGAAACGAACCTCCTGCCGTGTTGAGACGACGACCACAGCGGTCGCATTTGAAGTGCTTTGCCTTCTGGTGAGAGATGAGAAGCTTGAGATCTTCGAAATCACGCTCGCCTGTGATAGGAATGTTAGCATTGAGTGATCAGGGCGCAAGCCGCAAGGTTCGTACAGTAGTAGCACCAGGGTCGACTGAGGACCTCCTCGATGTCGGCGTGACTGCGCCGCTTCTTGCCCATTTTGTTCTTGATGTCGGATATGTATTATAAGTCGGTAAGAATAATGCGCGATACAATTCGAGCGCACAGAGGTTCCTGATACTTCGTTGAATCGCAATATCTTGGACGTGGAGCTTAGAACTGAACGCGACTCGAAAAAGAGTGGGTAGCTTGGTCGGAGAAGCTTCGGTTAAATAGTGCGGAAGAGGCCTCAACACCAAGCATCAATCATGCGGATCAGACACGGCAACATATGGAGATGACTTGGTAACAACGAATTGGCACGAAGGTGAAGATCACGCATTGAAGTTCCAAGTTTAATGAAAGCGTGATTTCTGTAGTGATTATACATTGATTATGTACGTCTATAAGACCAAGCAAATATTTATACCGCAGAAGCTAGATTAGCATCATCCAAACCCATGCTCCATCTCCCAATGCCAGAATGCATATTTGTTTACCATCCAAACCCCCATCAATACATATCTCATGAGTCCTGTTGTTGAAGCGCCTTTTTGAATCATCACGATTCTTACCCATTGCAAAAACTCCCCAATTAGAAAACGCCCCAGTGAATGCTCCCCCATCAAAATCAAGATCCGTTTGGCGCCACCTGGTCAAAAATTATCAGCGGCCACTGGCCTCCCTGCTGAATGCTGTTGATGTCATTTGCCGAAGGGCTGGATGTGACGCCCGGGACGCCCGGGACGCCCGCGCCTGTCGAGGCGTCCCGTGTACTGCCTCCGAGCGTCAAGAGTGTCGATGCGCTGAAGCGATCTTGCGTGTCAGCGATGGCTGATGTCCAGTCGTGCCAGGTGTTTCCGCGGCTCTGCCAGAGCATGTCTGGCTGAGGCGCGACCTGGGGAGGTTGTGAGAATGCGAGCATTGGGTTCACTTGCGCCACAGACGACGGGAGTGCCGATGTGGTAGCTGCGACTGCAGCTTGTGCTGATGTGTTGTAGAACATGGCACCAGTGTCGTAAGCTGGAGCTTCCATGCTGTTTTGTGGGTGTTCATTGTAGGCGAGTGTTGGGTAAGGAGTCTGTCCATTCAGATCGGACTCGGGAAAGTAGCTCTTGGTAGATGGGACTTCACTTTCAGCCCCTCCGCTGGTGGGTGCGGACTGGACCTGAGAAGGCGGGTAGCTTGAGGCTGGCTCCTGTTTGACCTCCGGTGTGGTAGAAGGCTGAGCGCTCTTTGTCTCCTTGTTACGCATATCATGGTCGATCCACGCAATCGTGCGGTCAATGATGTTTCCAATTTCAGTAGCAATGCTGGAATCTGAGCCTGTCGTATTGTTAGGGCTGACTGATTTGCGCACTAGAGGCTGGAACTTACCGAGAAGAGAGCAAACTTCCTCAAGAATGCCGACCCAACCGTTCATCTCCTCCCGCAACGTGGCAATGGCCTCAGGTGTCGTTTCGAAACGTCTCTCCCACATGGCAGCCAACATGGTGAAAGTGCCAGCAGTGTACATCGAAGTCTGGTACCAAGTCGTATCGAGGCACTTGCACTTCTGGATCTCCATTTGACAGTGAAGCATCTGGCGCGAGACATCCTCACAGATAGACATGTTCTCAGCCATCATGGCCTTGTCGCTGGTCATGGCTACTGAAGGATGTCGTAGGCAAAGACGGAACTCAAGAGCCCAGGTCTTGGCGTAGACAGCTGCCAGACGCGTTTGCTCGGTCTGCTCAGCATGATCAATCACCAAATGACCAGGAAGCTCATCCTCCCACTTCTGAATCTGAGCCTCAAGTGCCTTGACGATGCCGACATAGTTTCGCGCATCTCGTCGAACACTGTAGATATTCGAGTACATTTCCATGTAGATGGGAATGATCTTGAAGCTCATGATACCTGGCCAGTAAGGGCAAGGAATGTCGCGGGATGTGTCGACGCCTTCATCCGAAAGAAGCTCATCAGCGATAGGCTCGGGAAAGCCGACATCGAATTCCTCAACGGTGATAGGCATCGGCCGGCCACGACGTCCAGTAACGGCGATGTAGACAGTCATGATGACCCAGAAAGCTCTCTTGCGAAGCTCATGTTGAAGATTGTTAGGCTCGCCTGGCTTTCTTGACTCTCGGTGCAAGTTCAATTCGAGTGCGCGCTGAAGAGCAAGGTTGGCGACGATTGAAACAACACCGGGCTTGGGGAAAGCTCTGGTATGCTTGACGACCATGGCCATGGCCTGAACCGAAGCCAGGTCTCGGGTGCATGTCAGCTCAAAGAACTTGCTGAGGGCAAAATGGTAGTGATTGTTGGATCGCTCATTCATTTGAGCGCGCTGGTCAACCTGCTGCCAGTTTCTTGTGCCATACTGGAAGCAAATGATGGCGAAAACCATGTGCACTGTAACAAGCTCCGCCACTGAAGGCTCAAAATTAGGTTCATCGTACATGCGGGTCAACTGTATGGTTGTTAGTGATTAAGCCTAGAACACGGTGCGACAACACTTACCAATCGCATGAAAGAAGGCTTGTGGAGGACTGGAAGGAAAGCGGAGAAGGTCATGAAGTACCACTCGGCGTAGGTGAAGGCATCTTCGCGAGAAGGCATCTCAGCCTGCATGGGAGGATTGACCCTCATAATAGATTGGAGGAAAGACTGCGGGGACTTGTTGTACGATGGCGCCGCCTTGCCATCGACTGGAGGCTCCTCCGCATCTGGTGGCTCAAAGGACGCCAGGTCGACTGTCATCCCTAGAATTGACAATCGCGTACCCCCGATTGAACTCAGAGGAGCACTGTCCATTCCGACACCAAGATGATTATCATGAGGGCGGGACTCTAATGTGCGAGGGAAGCTGGGAGACAAGCTTGGGGCTGATGCAGAGTCCTTGAACAATGCGCTGCCGACTTGAGACCATGTTTCGCCAGTCTTGGGGTCAGGAATTGGGTTGCCCATATCATCAAAGTTTGAATCGGAGGGGCACTGTGCATAAGGCGACCACTCCCAGGGCTTGACTTCGACGCCCTTGTTATCGAGGAGCTTCTCAAGATCGCGAATATGGGAGAGCATGTCGCTCTTTTCCCTCTCTAACTCCTGCATGTATCCTCTTCGCTCTGTGCGCCCTGTCACGCGATCTGTAACATAGCATTCAAGGTTCTGGTTGGTGCAGTGAGAGCAGCCTTCAGGGAGTGCATCGCATCGAATCTTTCGAACCTGTAATTGTCGCGCGGTTAGCATGTTGTGAGAGCATGGCCTGAGATTCATGGCATACCTTGCATCTGTCGCAAGCTTGACCAGTGCGTGTATAAGACTGTAATCGGTTCTTGACAACGCTGGAGAAGTCTTCTGGGCCACGCTCTAGCCTGGGAAGTTTGACTTTGCCGGGGGCTTGAATTGGGCTATCATCTTCGCCATTGCTCGCAGCCCGCTTGGGAGGTCGTCCTGGCATCTTGGACTTGATGCGTGGGGAGATCCCCCTCGATGAAGCAGGTGAAGATCTCGCGGAAGAAGTAGCTGAGGAAGAAGCGCTCTTGTTGCTGGCGCTCGTGCAAGAGGCGGTGCTGGCCTTTGTCCTGGCCGTGCAACGAGATATCGCGGCAGGCTGGCGCGGGCGGCGCCCAGTGGGTTTTGTTGAAGTCGCAGTCGCAGGGGCCTTTACACCGGCGAAAGAAGGATGGCTGTAGGCAAATGTATCAGGAGCCCAAGCGAGGGCAGGGTAGGAGCGGGCGTCGAAGGGCCAGTAGAGGGGACCTGGACCTGGCTGCGACGTCAACGACAACGACGTGGGAGTTGAAAAGTTGGCGATGGAGGAATTGAGGTTGCGCTGGGATATAGCCTCCATCATACTGGTCTGGGAACGAGGCCTTGAGCTTGGGCTTGCTGGGGCTGGTGCTGGTGCTGCCGGCACTGACAATGGCACTGTACAGGGGATGGGCTTAGCGGGGAATGCGCTGTGCATTAGCGGCCTTCCGGGTATGGGGGGGGGGGAACACGACGCTGGGTGGAGGCGCAGGTGTAGGCCTCAAGGAACCCCAGTGGACGTTTGTGACGTGAAAACTGACGAGGAGCGGAGCTGGATATGAGACGGGATGAGATGGAGGGAGGGGACAGATGAGATGATTTGCTTGTCATCTGCGAAGAAATGGTCTAGACTCTAAGTGGCTGTGGAAAACCTCCTGTTCTTCTGCGTATATTGAAGAACTTGAACAATCAAGACAATTGTATATGTAAAGTATGCACGGTTATTGAATGGTGAATCAAGCAGGGATAAGGCTGGTGAACGTCTGGTCTTATAAGCAAAGAGATCTGGTGGATGTCTTGAGGTTGTAACCATCCATCCATCCTTAGTTCACATCTTAGCTTGGCGAGTTAAAATAGATACACCAACCTTACCAACCTTACAGTACCAACAGATCTCTCCCGGAGTTGGCGTTATTCCCATCGTCAGCTTCTCTTTGCACGGAAGGCCCGTATCTCGCTGAGGAAAAGCACAGACAGGATCTCCCTATCAAATATGGAAGATATCTCATCCGGAGACGAGATATCGTCAGTGTTTGAGGAACGGAGAGTCCTTCTAGAAGAATACCGGCAGACTGGGAGAGGCAGCCACGATAACGTGAGTGTTGTATGAATTCTCCGTAGCCCAGAGTATGACATCGGATCTACTGGCAGGGCCAGGCCAGAGTTTCCCATAGGAACCAAGAGCAACGAGGCGCTGCAAGGGGAGTGACTCCACCGTGGCCGTCTAGACCGTGGTCTTTTTCTGGGCAAGTCACGAGATTTCTTGGGAGAAGATGCCGTACAAGCGCAATGATGCTGTGGCTGAAAGAGACAAGGCCAAGCTCGGCGGTACCGTAAGAATTTCGACCATGACGATTCGCAAAATGCCAAAGAAAACGAGCTGATGAGCGGAGCCTAGGGGAGCCAAGACTAGCAAAGTCAGCTCTTGGTAACTCGTATCATTATGATTTGCATGCAACCTAGACAATGAAACCATTGATGGAACTGCAACCCTACTGCCGGTACCGAATAGCCAAGACGAAGCCAGACTAGTTCAGATTAGTGGTTCTTTTGATTGACTTTTGGTTATGTCGGTGCCTTGCTGATCAGGTTCATGCTTTCAGCCTTCAGCCTTCGGCCTTCAGATTGGGCAGCCAAGATGTTGATGATCCCGTTCCCGCTACAGATGGCATATGTCTGTCAACCTTGATGATGTGGCGCCGGCCTTGTATCGGAGATATTACGAGAACTCAACGGTGAAAGATGGCCACGATCATTGAGCAACGTGGGTATAACGGATGAGGTGATTGAGTCTGACTTGTTGCTGAATAACGTGGAAAACGTTTAGCCATAACAATTGATGAATGCCCACAGAGATAATCCCAACATACTCTGTACGTAGTACAGTGAGGTCGGCTTCTCCTCACTTCGTGACGTGTTAAAACATCAAAATTAAGTTAAGGTAAGTGTCAAAGGAGCATCATATTGAATATACAGTACGAACACAGTATAACAAACATGTGACGACCCTTGGCTGGTGACGTGCCCCGCCACCAATTGCACCGCCCATCCCTAGATCTCACTCTTTTTAACCCCTCCACACTAAACTAAACCCAAGATCGAAACTGCTCAAACCACCACAACAACGTTACGCACTACCCCTTATCCCCAAGAGAAAATTAAGTTACGAAAATCAGCAGATTTTCTTGGACGAACTTTTGTCTTACCTCATATTCCAATTGCCAAGAATTCACTGCCAAGCCAACTACAACGGCTCTATCGGCTTCCAGGCCTTGGTCCGCAACAATGTCTCTCGAAATAGTATCTCTCGAACACTTGCCAGACTCGCACAAGGTCTACGTTGCCCTTTTCCGTGACGTACAGAATGCGGCCTTTTTGCACCAGCAGCTGCTTGCTCGGAAACCCGAGTTCGAGTACGCCTTCATCGATGCCTCAGTGGTGAGTTCCGCGCGGAGTACCCGACTTAGGTATAGGGCAGTTTCCATTAATACGGAGGATAATCACCAGGTTGTGTCGCGGCTTCAATTATTATCCGCTGTGTTTAAGGCTACGTCGACGGCTGTGAATGGCGCTCTCAGGACTCCAAATGTTCACTCCGAGGTTGTCTGTGCAATGAGTTCTTCTAATAACGTAATATGTCCCTTGTTGTGAAATGTCTTCGTTTGAGGCTGACATTTCATGTTCAGATTGCTGATGCCTATCGTCGATATGGTATCTCTCCTTCTACCAAGGACCTCATTGTTGTCAAGGTCACATTTCCCGGAGAAGATGGTGCTGAGCCCTTGACCCGTGACCAGATCTGGGAGCATCTCAAGACCAACGTTGAGGGAGAGGCTTTATCCATCACAGATGACCAGATTTCTACCACCACTGACGTACCAAAGGTGCGCAAGTACTACAAGTTGAACGGACTCAAGTGGCTGGACGATATTAAAGATGAAAAGGTGAAGCAGAAGGAGATGGAGTCACTCGTCATTGGCGCAATGGCTCTAAGGGGTGTCTGAAGCACAATACCAAATCAAAAGCTTCACAATCAATCAAAAAATCTTCGTTAATGACTAAAATGTAAGTCATTTCTTCATCTATGCTTGATCTATCTCGGATATTGAGATGCTAGACGCCCTGGACTCCTGATCGCTACCCATGATGCAAAACAAAAGAAACATAAACACATGATATCAAGTTCTTTTCTCTTCCCTTTTCCCTTTTTTAATTTTTGTTCTTTTACTTCTTTAAGCCAAGCCGACGGCGCTCTTGCATCGTCGGACAAGCTCGGCCCAGAGAGCATCCCGGCTGCCCCTGGTTCGCTGAACGGCATCCTTGTTCTCGTGTGCGCGGCGGAGGAGGTACTTCATGCACTCGCCAGTGGTTCCCCAGACGAGGTACTTGTAGGCGGGCAGAATCTTGGACTTGTCAGACTGTCCAGCCTCGACAAGCTCGCAGCTGACTTCGTCAGCCATGCCCTGAAGTTGAGCAAAGGCAATGTCCGACTTGGCTCGGCCGGCCTCCATGATGGCGCGGCTTCGTCGCACGGACTCGGCGTTGTGAGAGGCGACGACAAGGCTGGCGGCGGGGTACTCGCCGGAACCCTTGACGTCAATGTTCCACTCGCGGGTGAGGACGCTGGCAGCGAGGGAGTCGAAGCAGGCATCGGTCTCCTCCTTGGTATCGTGGAAGAGCTCGCGGGGGTCGGAGTTGAGATAAGCGCCACGGACAAGCTTTACACCGAGAGCAAAGTTCTCGATCTGGGCGAGCTTCAGGTGGTTGGAGAGAACCTCGGGGCACTTCTTCTTGTAGGCCTGGTAGGTACCGAAAATGACAGCCTCGCCAAGTCCCTTGTTGTACTTGCGGGTGAACTCGAGAGTCCAGTCGTCAATGCCGTCCTGGAGCATGTCCTGCTCGGCGTCGAAGAGGAGGCGAACACCTCGCTCGTGGGCAAGCTGGCAGATGGAGTCGATGGCCTTGTACATGGCGGGGCTAGGAGGAAGACGGTCCTTGAGCTGGTAAAGAGCGATGCTTCCGGCGCCAGTGAACTTGAGGGCGACAAAGTCACCAGGCTCAGCAAGTCGGACAGTCTCGAGGGTGCCTCGGGCCCAGGGAAGAATCTCGTTCTGAATGCACTCATCGGTCTCCATGGCACCGTTCTTCAGACCCTCGCCCTCATCCTTTGTGAGGACAACCTCCTTGGCGTAGTTCAGAATAACACCAGTGAAGCCAATGTTCTTGAGTCCATCGATAGTCTTCTTGATCTCTGGTGACTTCTCGCCTGCGCAGAACTGAGCGTAAAAGGTCTTCTTGAGGAAATATCGCAGAAGAGGGTTCTTATCGGGGTTGAGCAGAGGGTTGGTGGTGTTGGCCAAAATACCCATGACGTGCAGAGATGGAGGTAGGAGCAGAGGCGAGGAGGAAACGGTCATGGTGGCGAGAGATCGGAGAATCATGATGAGAGGAAGAACGGAGAGAGGCGCTTTGCTGGGAGCGATGGGAGGAAGAGGATCGGGGATTTGCTGCTGCTCGACGATGGTGTTTGTGCGTCGCTCAGAGGAGTGGATGTGACGGCGGGCGACCATGTTGGTCTTTGTGATGGTGAGGCATGGTCGGAGTGTGTTGATGGTGATGGCGTTGGATGCAGTCGCCCAGCGAAGGGGCTGGGCAGTCCCTCGCCGAAGGGCCGAGCTCATTATATGAGATGTGTGTGTGGTGTTGAGTTGAAGGTCCTAAGTTGGTGGTTGGATGGAGATGCTGGATCAGTATGGAGGGATCCAGAGAGTGTTGGTGTTTGGTTTACGGAGCGATGATGCAAGATAAGTCAAGTTAGGTTCTATCTGGTTGAGTTTGTGGAATGGGCAAACGGGTGGCAGAGAGCTTATTATATCCATCTCAGAAGGCAAGTGTTAGTCTGTGACTATCAGTGTCGGTTGACTGCGGTGCTTCGCTTGGTGAATCTGGTCTGTGCCTGGGGCGTGTGAGGGAGGTGGCGCTATCTCCAGCCCGATAATCCATATCTCCCTTGCCCTGTTTGTTTAGCCTTCCCCATTCCATAGCAAAAAAAGGTCAATTCTTCTTCGCCATTGATCTCCAGCTTGCTCCAGTTGAGCTAGTCATTCAAGGTCATGTTTACGCTATACCAAGGCCCCCTGGTCCTCCGCAGAGGCCGAGCCAGACCGGCCCGTGACTATCAAAATGCACTGCAGGCGAACGAAAAAAAAGAAAAAGGACCCAGCTGTACGGAGCTTATCAGCCGTCACGTGGCTAGTTTTAGCTTCAGCATCGCCGAAAGTAGCCGCTGAGGGGCGTGGGGGGTGTAGCCCACGATAATTGGGGAGATTAGAATGGAAGCTGGGGATTTGGTTTTCTCTGATTGCCGCAACAGGCCGCGATCCCAGTAAATACATGTTATGTAATTGGTGACACTGGCAAAGCTAGCAGCACAGGGCATTGTGGGGAAACCTTGGAGATGCATCACCAGCATTCTTTTAACTGTTTTGAGATTGACAGTGATGGCTTGTGCTGAGACCTGAGACGTCTTGTGACTTATTTTGATGACGATATGTCCATGTCTCTAACTTCAAAGCCAACTTCCATTGTTGATCAATGATGTGCAAGGGGCTGATGATGTGTCGTTGCAGTTCGGTAGATAAGGCGATATGGATATGATATGCCGACATCTAATCCAATGGATGACGAATGGGGCTCTGCTACCATATCTCATGGCCTGGAACTGAGAGAGAGAGAAATGTTCGATCTCGCTAGAAGCCTTCTGCAGCGTTTTCTTATCGATGATGTCTCCATAAATGACCGACCAAAGCCGCTGGCCCTGGGCTGGTCAACGGGAGAGGCGTTTACCTAGAGTCCTAAACTCGGAGGGCCCCGATAACAACGACACTAGCATATTTTTTATCTCTGACCTTGCACCATGCTATTCCCCTGTGCTGGTCTCTGGTCAGTGCGATAGTCATGAACCATTTACCAAGTCTTGATATATCTACAGTTTTTATGTTGTACATAGAGGAACCAACCCAATTACATCACAATGCTGGTCGAGCATCATCATCTTCCCTTGTCTTTGACCTCCGACCTCGCAAGAACTCGACATACCCGATCGGTCTGCCTCGGGCTAAGCCAAGCACATCTTGAATCCCACCGTACGCAAGCCCAAACAACAACCCGTATCGCGCGGTCCGGGCGGCCGTTGTGAGTGACAGGCGATCTAGATGCACACGCCGAATATCGGCGCTTGTTAGCTCATCTCTTCTGCCACCTGTAAAGTAATGTAATGTAAAAGAAACCCCTGCTCCACATCATGCAATGCTTGCAATATCTACCCGTCGCTTTCCATCATCAAAGCTCCCAAAACGCCATGCATTCCCCATATGGGGTTTTGCGCAATACCGTTTCCCTTAGTCAAGCCGAGGTTTGAAGAGATAACCTAAAGAGAGAGAGAAAAGAATTGACCACTTACGCCAAAGAGAAAACGCGCCAGCGACTGTAAGCGTAGCTATCGTCGTAGAAAACATGTCGCTCGCCCCGCGATATCTATCGACCGTGCTCTCAAGCGACAAGGCCAGGAAGCTCCAGAAACCCGTCTTGAGACCCATGCGGAAGCCCTCTCGTATGCCGCCCTGCATGGCGTGGTAATTCTTGCTCTTGTGGTAAAAGTACCACCCTGTCGTCGTGTCGGGCATCTTGTGCGCATGCTCCGCCCGGAACCGCAGCTGCGCCATCTGTCCGCCCTGCGTCGCACCAAGCGAGAAGCCCACGACTGCTGACGAGATTGTTCCCAGCATGAGCCGCATTGGCGTCGCGACGGACAGACGCGGGTGCGTGTCCTGGGGAAAAGCTAGATCTGAGGGCATTGGTGCGCCGGGCCGGGGTGACGGCGTCAGGGTCGGGGACGGAGCGGCGGCCATTGTGGTGAGCTGAGAAGATCTTGTCTCTAGGCTGTGCTTCTGTTTTCAGAGAAGGCCGAGATTGTCGCGAGGCTCTGCGGCTGGTGGAGTCTCGTCTCGGTGGTGGGATGCGGAGAACGAAAGACTGGCCGGAGTTTGCAATCCCGGCGGTGGATGTTGCTTTTTTGGCGCCGCTTGGAGTCGGTAATGAAGAAGAGGGGTTGCGCACTTGGGGTTGGGGTTGGTGATAAAAAGATGACAAGCGAAGGCCCGATAGAGATATGTTCTTGTATAGTGAGATTTGAATATGTAATTGAATTGACTTTGCTTCGACGCTCGATGCGAACAGCAGGCTCATGCCATGATGGACAGTGCGTTCACGCATTAGTACAGTATTCACGCACGGTCTGTATTCACATGGAGCTGGACACTCAACGGTTCGCAATGACAAACTTTTTGGGGATTCAAATGGACCAGTTTCAATAATCCTGGACAAATTCCATGAGGTAGATTAGCTCTCAGAGACTGAACTTTCTTAGTTACTCATTTTCTCGGCCTAATAATAGCGTACACTCCATGGTCGGTCAGATGATTCCATCGACATCTTCAGTGCATGTTCCAGGGTAGCATTCGGTTTCTAGAAGCTGTCACTTTCTGCCCTGCTCTCGTTCCTGGATCTTGCTTCTGAGCTGTCACACATCCTTGAAGATGACGTATCGATAATTCTGTTCTTATAGGACAGCAATTCTGCACTCCTTCTCAAGAAGCTAGGCCTCAGGGAGCAAGAAACCTTCTGACTCTTAGGCTACGTGCCAAAAATACCTAGTCTAAGATCTACTAAATTTACATTAAGTCTAGGTAATTTATATTAAATTTACTTAAGTCTTTTTGTCACTTAGAATATCCGTCTTAAGTTTCCTTGCCTCCCCTAGCTAGGTAGGTAGGATATCCATACATGTCGATGGAGCGACAGCGTTCAAATCCTGCCTGTGTCTTCCCATCTACGCGCTCTCACGTGATGTCGCGCTGAGCTGATCCGTGATTCGCCCCGCCGATTCGAGTTCCATGCCCCTCATGAAGAACAAAGAGAGGCAGTTTTGAACTCTGACGTCTTACTCAAACCTTCATATCAAGATCGGCAAAATGGTAAGATACAGATCGCCTTACCCCCTAATGCATTTCGATACTGACAATACCTCAGACTGGCGTCGATGATGCACACATCTCGGTGCGCTTCAAGCACGGCATCCATACCATCTTTCTCTTCATCGACGCCCTCGCCCCCTTCTCCCATGTCGCCACTGAACTCCTCAATGTTCTGAACGAACGATACCCCGATGGTCTTACCAAGTCACTCGGTTCTCCTGAGAAGACTACCTTCGATACAGACTCGACTCTTGCTTTTGGCGCATTGAAGACCCCGAACGATCCCTCGTCCGGATGGATTAAACTCAAGACGGGTGATGGGGAGAAGACACCGACAGCGTTGGGACTGAAGAACAATAGTCTCCTTGCGTTTGCGGTGCTGGATGGGGAGGATGATGAGCCGGAGTTTGAGGTTGAGTGGCCGAAGGAGGATGAGGAGCTTTATGAGGAATGATTTAGGGACGAAGCTCGCGATTCACGCGACGTCCACTACTTTCCTGCAACGGCATGACTGTTACGCTCGATGGCGGGACGTGAGATACACCTACGATACGAGTTCGGCGCCTGGGAACTACACCACGAAGCCATCATAACAGGAACCTAATCGTACGACGCCGCAATGGGCCTGCGGAATTACCGAGAAGATGTAAAAAGAAATAACACAGTAGATACCCAACTGAACGCTTTACACGACGACTAACAAGGATGAGCTGAGCTTGGGTAAAGATCATCAGGGTAGGTAGCATTGCAAGGCCAAAGCATCTGGATCGCATTGGCCGAAATATCACAACGCTAGAACCACGACTTTGTAACCAATAAAATCAAGCATGTTTTTAAGAATAGAGAAACTCGCCATTGTTTCAATTCCGTCTTACATGACTCGCTGAATCAATGATGCGGCGGTACCCTCCCTGAAAAAGGGGTCCTTGTCGCATGACTAAGCCATTTAAACTTCACGTGTCGTCAATTGTCAGGGGTACAGTACCTTAAACCAGGGACCAACACCAACTCTCCTTTCCAGCCAAAACCTTTGCGCCGCAACCAACAACGTCCCGTTGGCCTTTTCAAAACACCACCGACGTGGCTTGCGCATGAGGTCGACTACATGAAAGTCGTGGCTTTTCTCCGCCATGGCCTGGGCCTACTGGTGCCGCTCTCGATAGCCTTTACAATCTACCTCTACATCTTCCCCATTGTCCAAGGATGCGCATTCCCCGTCGAGTCGAGGGATAGTCAGGAGGCTTATGACTTGACCAAGAAGTTTCACTGGCCTTCGAAGCCGACTGCGGACGATCATGCTAAGCTTGCGCCTTTTCGACTCCTTGCGCTGGGAGATCCTCAGCTAGAAGGCGATACCTCGATTATTACGAACTACCTGGGCACTTTTCCCCATGTGAAGAGTGTTTTCAAGCATGCGACGTTTCAGACGACGCACTGGTGCTTCCGCGAGCGAGTGCGAAAGATAATACACGACATCGTCGATATAATCATGGAGGATCTTCCCTACTACCTCATGTCGCAGCGCAAACGGTTCGATCTATGGGGCAACGACTTTTACCTGGCGCATATCTACCGTCAAGTCAACTGGTGGTCCAACCCTACCCATGTGTCAGTACTGGGCGATCTTGTTGGCAGTCAATGGATCGACGACAAGGAGTTTGAGAAGCGAGGCCGACGATTCTGGAACCGCGTGTTCAAGGGAACCGAGAGATTGTCTGATGAGTTGGCGCAAACTCCCAGCAACGATTACAATATCTCTGGAGTTTTGGATGGTAGCGATGAAGCGAAGCTATGGAAAAAGAGAATGCTCAATGTCGCAGGAAATCACGATATTGGATACGCTGGAGATTTGACCGAGGAGCGATTGGAGCGCTTTGAACGGGTTTTTGGAAAGGCGAACTATGAGCTGCGGTTTGAGCTGCCCATCACGGATCCCGAGACGATAGCTACGATGTACTCTGCTTCCAACCCGGAGTCGAAACGAGTCATTCCTGAGCTTCGCATTGTCGCTGTCAACGATATGAACCTTGATACACCAGCGAAGTCTCTTCCCTTACAGGATGCGACATACGGCTTTATCAACAACGTCATTTCTTCCGCAGGTTCTGTTGAATACCAGGGCCAATTTACCTTGATTCTCACGCATATCCCTATGTACAAGCCAGCAGGTATCTGTGTCGACGCTCCCTTCTTCGACTTCCACACTGCAGCAGACGGTGGAGGCCTCAAGGAGCAAAACCAACTCAGCTCTGATGCCAGCCGAGGTTTCTTGGAAGGAATCTGGGGCATGAGCTCAAAGAGAACCGCACCAGGCGGTGGCTACGGCCGAGCAGGTCTAATGCTTAACGGCCACGATCACGCCGGCTGTGATACTTATCACTACATCAACCAAACAAACGGCACAGATCCCTCGCAGCGTCAATGGGAAGTAAAAACCTGGACCGACGCACAAGATCTGAAAATCCCAGGCACCGATGGCATACCGGGCCGACGCGAGATCACAGTCCGCAGCATGATGGGCGACTTTGGCGGAAACGCCGGTCTTCTGAGTCTCTGGTTCGACCAGGATACGTGGGAGTGGAAATATGAGTACGCCACGTGTCCGCTGGGAAGTCAGCACTTCTGGTGGTTCGTGCACATATTCGACTTTATCGTGCTGGTGTGGATGCAGTCGTACGCTGTGCTCTCTGTGATGGAGGCTTATGGTGTTGATGTGGACGGGCCGTTTTGGAGGGGTGTGTCACGGATGAAGGATTTTGTGCTGCGACGGAAACAAAGTGTCAGTGATAAGAAGTAAAATGGGTTGGGTAAAATGATGTTTGAGTAGTGAATTTCTATAGAATACAAAGCGTTCTGGTTTCGTAATTTGATATGCGGTTTCGCTTGGGATTGCCTTTCGGTAAATTATGTTGGTTGTAACGGTGTTGGGCCGAGACATTTTCGCGATGGGGAGCTGAGTTGAGTAGATAATGCGAGGCGCAGGGCTGGAATAGGATTAGGGTTGTTGTATAAGGAGGTGATACTTATGGTGAGTGTAGGACGTGTGATAACGGTGTTGGACAGAGATCAGGGCCGCGCGGCGAGGTTGTACATATCTGTTGGTGTTGTGTATTGCCATGGTCAAGTTCTGGGGTCTGAGACTGAGGCAATCATGACCTGCCTTCCCTCGGGCGATCGAATGCGGCTCTGCGCCCTTGGGTCGGTCTTGAAGGCGTCATGATGAATGTGAATGTTCTATGCTGTAGTATACTGCGTGCGTCGTCTTTGACCCGATCGTTGACGGTGTTGCCCTTCAACAGCCCCCTTCACCATAGACTTTCTTGATTACCAATATGATCATCTGCACAAACACAATGTCACTCATGGTGAACATCTCTTCACTTCTTTCAGCTGACACGAACCAGATCACAGGCAGCGCCATGATGTAAAAGACTATTGCGCGTGGTTTCCTGCGCCGGTAGCATCAACACCATGGTGATACAACCGTTAAGGTTGCCCAGCGACCATGTAAACCTGCTAGATCCGGCATCCAGGCTTTCTTGTCGTGGAAGAGTATCTGTTTCGCAGGATCGTGTGTAGAGTGTGATCAAAAGCAACGGCTGTTTGTGTGAGATCAAATGATTGGGAAGGGTGACTACATAAACTCAGGACCAGACGGCTGGGTCGATGGAGTTTTGGATGATCATACTCACACGAGACGCTTCGCCGGAAGAAGAATCTTTACCAACAATCATTGAGACATTGCATGAAGCATGTTGTCTCCTCATGGACTTGGGATACTGATCCTTTTGGGCGTCGCAGAAGGTGTCCCGCAACCAGACGAAAGCCATCAGGAAGCACTTCTCAAACACCAAGCTAATATACCAAGGGATAACGCAAATGATGGCGTATCTACCGACATGCTTGGGGCTATGAGTCCTCAAACAGACTACAGAACAATGCCAGCGGGCACTTACACAGAGACAATCTCAACAGGCCTAGTCAGGATAATCGTCGTCAACGAACCAACACCTACAACAGCCAATCAAGGAAAATGTCCCACAGAGTGTGATTGCACAAGGATAAAAGATAAGAACAGCGACGAGTAAGTACTAACCCGCCAGCCTCGTTTACTGAGTACGTTATTGATACGCTCAGATACGCCCAATGCTTAACCAACGCAGAATGCAGACCATGCAGAGAGCCAAATCTCACAGCTTCATCGTCAACGATAAAGCCAAAGGCTACATGTCCCGCTGAATGCGACTGCACAAAGATCAAAGATGAGCAAAGCCAAGAGTACATTTCCCTTCACCATCACAAGCTTCACCTTATCTAATGAGTATAGGTACTTCCAATGCATAACAAACGCCAACTGTCGAAGCTGCAGAGTGGGAGCCCCACCCAATTAAACAAACACGTGAAAAAAAGAGTTATCATTGCATGTGGGGTGGTATTTGGTAGCTGACAAGACTTTCGTCTGTCGTATGATGGTAGCTAGATAAAAAGTTGACAAAAAAAAAAAAAAAGAGAATGCGTTTTTTCCCCGAGCTTCGAAAATGCAACGCTAGAATCCGTGAATTATGTTTAACAGCAGCAGTCGAAGCACTCAAGACAACACTCGCAGGTCTCGCCGCAGAGCCAGCAGCAACAGAGTGTAGCGATACTGTGATTTATTAGTATTTATTGAAATGAGATTTGAAGATAAAAAGGGAATTTACCATGTGTATAGACAGCCGTGGCTCTTCTCTTCTTGTGGTGGAGGGGCTTGCTGATACTGCATCTGTTGATTCTGTTCATTGTTAGATGAACTGGTGATCTTCTGTAGAGCCTCAAACTTACAGGCGGGTAGCCCTGAGGAGGAGGGTAGCCTTGAGGAGGATATCCACCCTGGGGGTAGTAGCTGTTCCAACATTAGTTTTCCTTTCTTCTTCTTGTTCTTGTGATTGAGAAACTTACCCTTGGTTGGGGTCGTATGGAGCAGACATTATGACGGATGTGTTTTTGGTTGTAAGTGTGTAAGATGGGAGTTGGAGGCAGGAAGAGCGTCAAGTTATATTATTAGCCCCATGTGTTTTCTGTCTGAAGGGAAAAGGGTCACAGGGGGCGCAGTTGCAGACGAGACGAGACGCAGATGATCTGTATCCTTCTTGGCTCTTTGACTGTGACCTTGGCGTAATAACGGGTATCCCGTGGTCAAGGCCGATTTAACCGTACCGTAGTCTTGGCATGCTCACACTGACTTGACAATCACTCTAATTCCCTGATGCTCACTAACACCGACAATTTACTGGACATCTTGCACTGGCTTGCACTAATTGCTAGTTAGCGACGGTTATGCCGGCACGTTCCGTTACGAGTCGGCAAATGATATTGGGTTTTGGCAGTCTCTTCACTTTAAATGTTAAATTACAGTCTCTGGGACCATCTCAGCTAAGGTTCTTGGTGACTCCACTGCGAATTGACGTTGCAGGGGTTATGCACCTTGGCAATTGCGCGTCCTCATGGCTGAGCTTGACTCCTGCATAAAGGGTCCTTCTTGGCACAAGAGGTTGGGCTTGAAGATTGTTGACTAGCAAATGCCTGACGGACCACAAGTCAGTTCTGTTAAAGAATTATCACGAGATTACGAGCCACAGCTCTTCATAAGGTCGTCGTCCGTATAAGTTATCCATTGCTACGGAGCTCTCACCGTATTCTTGATAAAGAGCTGATCCTCAGGCTCTCAGCCTTGCTACATGTCCTGTTCCCGTCTCTTGTCTTGTCTTGAAACACTCCTTGCCGCTGTATTCCCGAACCCTGTACGATCAACGCGCGCGCGTATGTGCAGGTACCGCCACGATTTACGAATACAACAATGGCGAATGAAGCTGTCCAAAGCCGCGGGGACCGATACCGTCTAACGCGCGTTGTTTAGCCACTGAATATTCGCTTTCGACTGCGGCTGAGTCATGAAGCTTGTCTCGGCTTTTGGTGTCTTGGACGAGAGACTTGCTGTTACGTTGTATCGCTTACTGGTTTGCGCCGCATTCGGTGCCCGACAAAAGCAGCAGCCGACTAGGTTTGTGTGAATTGATGGACACGGTTGGCTCATGCTAGGCGCTTCTCAATCGTTGCTATCTTTGGTGATTCGCCTTCTCACGCATGATCGGAGAGGCACCTTGTTGAAGTGCATCTCGGCGCAACTCGCAATTCTTCCAAGCGCTCCGATTTGCGCCTGGCTTTCTGTTGGCTCGACCTGAGCGAAGCGGGCGCAGGAGTTACACGATGCGACTCACGGACATGCAGCCAACCGATCGACATGCTCCTTAATTCGCAAAGCACCTTCTTTCGGACTCAGATTCGTGACATCCAGCACCAACTCGTTCTCATTCCCGAAACGATAAATCGTCTCGTTCTCCAGAATTGGCCTCAATATGTTCTCGTCCGTAAGCTTCGCGCCGATGCTTACAACCCGCGTCGGATTGATCGCCCTCGTTATGTTCTCCTCAATCTCGCACTCCAGTACGATCGATATGAACGAAACGCCTCTCTTGCCCGCTGCAGCTTCGTAATCCTTGGCGCCCATTTCTCCCGCTGTGCTTGCCTCTCGCGCATCGGTAAAGATCCACGTTTTATCCTTGGTATATTGTGACGTCGCGATTTCGTTGAGGATGTACCGCCGTAGACCCGTTCGCATCTCATGGTAGCCTGGAGATGAGCGCTCAACGAGGGCGTCGATGGGATCGATGAGGTGGTGATTGTGGTAGACTTTGGAGTTGGGCAGCAATTGCTGGAGCTCGTTCGCGATTGTGAGCTTCCCGATGCCGGGGTACCCGTTGATGTAGACGAAGCAAGGCATATTTCGGCAGGGGGAGCATGTGCGGTAAGGTTGTTGATCGTCGAGTAAATGCGGATGCTGGTATTTGAAGTTCGACGAAAGGTGAGTCACCTTTATGCTTTCAACAACCACCGAGCCCTCCCAGTGTGGCCACTCAACATCACGCACGAGAAGCTTAAGTCGACAACCGAAACTTTGGTCATGCTACCAATCTTCGTAAATCCTGCTCAAGGGGATCAAGAACTCCAGAAATCACGTCCCCTTGAAAACAGCACGAACCTCCAGTTGTACCTATTTGCATATCCGATCGTAAACATCGCTCGACCGCATTGTAATACCCAGAGCCACCAGTCATCATGACCCGTCCTAAAAGCTTACTGGCAGCTTCGTAATCACGGATATGTCTCGGTACACCAGGCTCTAATGTTTGAGTCTGGGGTGAATCCAGAGTTGCTATTGACTGGCCAAGAATGAGCTCGATGAGTAAGATTCCGAGATATAGCATAAACGGGTTGGTCGTTGATGTTGATGCATTGACTCTGGGATATTCGGGGAAGTGTCTGAGAACAAAGACATGGTGGAATTGATGAACACCACCCTTTTGAGCAATGAAGATGTCCTCACTTCGTGGAATATCCGCAACCCAAGGCGTACCCTGCATTTGTAAAACACCACAAGCAATCATCCAAGCCAGACGTAGCTTATCACCGTAGAGCAACGCTGGATTTTGAAGGACTTGTTTTAGTGGTACCAGAGACCATTCATCACAGCTGCCCAGACACTCCAGCGTATAAACATCATACTTCTGAGTCTGGGTCATGTAGCAGTGCTGAATATGTCCACATCTCTCGCCTTGTTTCTTCTTCCCCATCGTTTGCATGGCTTCGCAAAGATTGCTGATGTGTTTGGAACAAATGGGCTCAGACATTGTCCTGAGAGTGTTGAGAGTGAGGTTTGATAAGGCTGATTCGATAATAACTGTTTGTGAATGCTGGCCGCTTGTTGAAGAGGTAGTTGATGGGACAGCAAACCCAACTGTCTTCCTCGAAGTGGCTGTACTCTGTGCCGTGAAAGAAACCGTTGATGTCTTCGAGTCCTCTCCGCTCTTCAAGAGAATTTCATTCCATTGCTTCGAAGTATTTGCTTGCGATGCCGTCAGGTACGAGACGGCAAGACGGAACTGCAACTCCTTGATAATATCCTCATCGTCATCCTCAGGAACAACAGTCCGTGACGGAGGTGTAAGTCTCAAGCCAATATCATGCAAGCCAGAGCATTTGCAGGTCATAGTTGACCGTAGTGCGTGATATATGCCACTGAGCATTCCATTGACTAGTTTGTTGAGTCGTCCTTGGGATCGAGATTTTCTCTGTGACTCTAGATCTGTGTTGAGAACGGCCAGCCTTTGGAGAGCAGAGACGCCATCGCGTATTCTTGTAAGGACTTCTTCGTGGTTGGACTTCTGAAGGATGAATGTTGCTCGTTTGAACTGCTTCTTTATCGAAGAGCTTTCGATCCATTCGGCCTGTTTCTAGTTAGCTGAGGCACAATATCGATCACAGCTACCCACCTTTCCGTCTGTACCAATATTGAGCTTCTCCATCATCTCCTCGATAGCCTCTCTCATATCCTGAACTCGGTCATCAAACACTTGCAACGATGACCAGAGCCTCAAGCGCAGTTTATTGAAGATATCCTCTTCTCTCCAAAGATCTCCGAACGGATCTCGAATCATTTCCTCAATTCGTGTTTGTGGTGCAATTCCTATCAGAACCTTCTCACATATATTCTGAAGATTGACGTGCTCAGTTTTGAGAGTTAAGATCAGACTCTTCAGGATTCGCTTGTAGGATCGGAAGTTCTGCAGAGTGCCAAGACCGTTCATATAGCATTGGAGCGCAGATACTACGATAGGTATACTGCCGAGCACGATACCGGCGACTTCGAAGCCTGACATTTTAATGAGATTATCAGGTCTATGGAGGGACGAGAAAATGAGGGAAGAATTTTTGAGGCCCTCAGCCTGGTCTTGTTCAGCTGCCCTGGGTTGAAAAGATGAGGGGTTGCGGCTGACGTGCAGCTGAACTTGATCTGACCAACAACACCTGCAGATAGCACCTTATCATAGATCACCAGAGGGCATGTGCCACTCTGATCTTCATTCAATGTTTTCTGGGTCGATGAACCTCGAAATAACAAATAACGCCGTGTATTCATTCCTTACACACAGCCATGAACTCTATTGCTGAGCATGTTTCGGCTTGTCTCCAGGAGTTCCATGATCTCTGCAGTTCTCCGACAATATGGGGAGATAGCTTTCGGGATGAGGGTCCTCAGAGCGATATATCACTATTGAAGCTACAGAATGAGCTGAGCAGATTCAAAGTCTGGAGTGGAAACATTGGCGCTCATCGAAAAGGAAGAAGTTCGCTCGATCACAGGCTTCGAGATGCATCAAATATCCGGGATCAGGTGATTGAGCTCTTGAAGGACTTGAAAGAATCCCTCCAAGATGGTAAGTTGCCTGAATTGAGCTGCTCAAGATTCTCTCTGACATCAACAGCCAACAACATTCTTACGGGATATACAACACCATGGGATCAAGATCTGTCCCCAGCTCAGTTTTCAGATGACGATTCCGACGATGAACCATTTCAAGTCGACACATCCGGGCCATCTGAGCTCTCACAGATATTTGCTGCCATCGTTGAAGACATCAACTGCTTATTCAGACTTTCAGCGTCCATTCACAATCCTTCTCCCCACGACCGCTTTAAGAAAGCCTGTTTGACTGACACATCCGGTTACGAGCCCTTTGACGTTCAGCATGTATGCAACAAGCTTTCTAAGGCCCCAAAGCCGATCGCCGAAAGACTTGGAAAGGCAATTTCCCGACGAAGACAATACTTCAAATACAGGGAACTGCACCATGACAAATTGGCAAGTGGGTTTGAAAATGATGATAACGATCAGATGCAGAGTACAGTAGCTTCTTCATTACCGAAAAAGCTCAACTTGAATGAACCTATCTCTTTGGAAGAGGACGTGGATGAGGTATCAGATACTGGGAGATCGCAGACGTCTTGGGCAACATCTGCTGCAAATCCAGAGAGACGAAAGATACCAGCTCTTCCAGCTGAAGCCGAGAATGGATCTTTCGAATGCCCATTTTGCTTTATGATGATATCTATCTCATCGAGGAATCTTTGGAAGTCAGTTCCCCTTTCGTTCGCAAAATAATTGTCACTCACATGAAATCACAGAAAGCACGTCTTCTCAGATCTGTTTCCCTACATTTGCGTGGAGTTAGGTTGTCCAGCCCCTGACCAAGACTTTCAGAGACGTCACCAGTGGGCCGGTCATGTCAAGAAATACCATTGGAAGACATGGACCTGCAGTCTTGGGTGCAACAAGACCTTTGGCTCTTCGCAAGACATGAAACGGCATTTGGCACAAAGGCATTCTGAAACCGCGGAATTGACTCATCTCGACAGCCTTCTCACTATGTGCGAGAGGCCCAAGTCAGAGAACGAACCAACGGACTGTCCTCTGTGCAATGAAAAGCAGTCTTCGTTCAAACAATACCAACGACATGTCGGTCGCCACCAAGAAGATCTTGCTCTGTTTGCATTACCTCAGCTTCCAGGTGAGGAAGAAGGAGGAGGAAATGAGGAAGACGAAAGTGAAGGGAAATCTCAAGAGGCCGAACAGGAGGGAGCAGAGGCACAAAAACAACCGCTAGCCCAAAGACGCAATTCTCTGTTGAGCCTTGACCGTCCTGATAGGTGGCCGGGGCAAGAGAAGTTTGAGCCAGCTCAGACGAACCAACCAGACTCTCAGCAAGAATTTGCCGCTGCGGTCGAGTCGAAAAGGAACAACACGAGCCGCGACCGCAAATATATGTGCATGCAATGCCCCTATACAACAAATCGTAAATTCAACTTAATGCGGCATATGAAATGTCACGAGCTGCGGGCACCTGGTAGGGCCGATACCCAAGATAGGACGAAGGACAAGAAGCTGCCTCCGACATCAGCCATCGAGTTTCGGCAGCCGTCAACGCCTTGGGATAACAATTCCGCAAATGAGGCTTCTGAATCTACCATAGCCGCGTGGATGCAAAACACAGTCTCCACCGACGACGTGGTGATCGATCCTGTTCAGACTCCCTCAAGCTTAGACCCGACCGAGTGTGATGTTCTGCGTCTCAACCATAACAAGTTATCACAAAATTTCTTCTTTACTCGACACGCCATCAGGGACGGCAAATTGCGCGTGTCTCGAATCAGAGATCTCGCAGTCGGAATGACGAATGCTCCTGAGAGTTTAAGACATATGGTCGAGCTGTTTTTCAAAGAGACTAAGCTGGAAATAGACTCAACCCCCATTCGAAACTACGGTATATCGACTGGGGATGTGTTGAAAGTTGAATCACCGCAATTCAGAAAACCTGGTCAATTGAGCGGCTCAGCCAGCAAAAATCCTTGGATGGGCAACAAGCAAACTACTGAGGGGAACATGGAACTCGAGGGGAAGGCAGAACGTGACAAACGTCGAGCAGAGTTCTCCCGAGAGTTGAGACAAAGAGCTATGATGGAATCCAGCAGCGATCAAGTGCCAGTCCCTGAAACCTTGTCAGATCTCGAGACTAGGGATACCCGTCAAGCCATTGCCGCAAGTCAGCCATCCATAGAGATCGACGAAAACAATCTTAGAGCCCTTAAACCTGGTGTTAGATGTCCTACCTGTGCCTTGGAAGGCAAAGAGATATGGGTTGTTCCCGGACGCTGTTGTGGATATTGCGGAACACCCTGTGTGGACGAAGATGTCCCAGATACTCACTATTCATTAGGACGTGCAATAAGTAACGGCCCAATCATACGAGTTAGAAGTAGGGTGGCTTCCGATATGCGCAGAGGCCATTAACTCGGACGACGGGTCAACAAAAAAGCAAGAAGAGCGGCTCGTCCTCATCAATGGAATTCATTCCAATATAATAAGGAAGCTGAGGCAAATTGAAGAGGTCAGCGACCCTGCGGTCAAGGCAAAGAGAAGTGATATAGTGGAAAAGGTCAACGAGCTTTTATCGAGGCTAGGTGTTGAGTCAACAAAGAATTGAGGAACAGGGAGCTTTAGGTAATATAGTCATGGTGAGGTTGTAACTTGATCTTGCCTCACCATCGTCTGTGTCGAAGTGCTTGTGCCTCTAAAGAACCTCGGCGAAAGCAGCCGAGGCTGGCAAGCAGGGACTAACAGGAGTCTTATTAGCATTTCTGCGTCGACGTCAAGGGTTTGCATACAAGGGAGCATAACGTCATACCAAAAACTTGATAAATATAGAAACTTTGTATTCACTCGCTGAGGAGCAACTCTAACGAATATTGACAATTGGCTAGGTCTACGGGCCGCCCGGGCCGTTATCCTAATTAGTGGGCCAACGCTGACAACGACCAGGAACACCCCCCCCCCCCTTATCATATGATATGATATGATATCATGTCATGTTGCTCTGTTTGAAGACGACTGTTAGAAAAAGGTCTCAGTCCTCAAACATACCTTTTATTTAAGCTCTTTGTTCTCCGGCATCCCTCATTTTATGCCGCTGTTCCTGTTGTTACCCTGCTCTGTATTCGTTACATAACCATGCCAAACCAATCTGCAGGAAATACGACACTGCCCGAGGCGCCGACACCAACCACTGCCCACACAAGGTCTCCGTCGAAACCTCCTTCGAAATCACCGTCAAGATCTCCGCCGGCTCAGGGCGAACTTGGCCCTGCGGACGATTCTGATGTCCGTCCTTCAGGCCCCTTTCAAATTGGGAACGCTACTTACTTTCGAGCAGCATGATCCTCATGGGGATGCCGACTCTTCCCTTGGGACCGATACGTCAGTGGGAGTCGTGACAGTACATCTTTTATGTTTCTAACAGTCCTCGCAGCGAGAGCTCAACCGCCTCCGTTTCTGCTAGCATTCTTGAGTACCGTCGAAGCCTGGGGCGCACATACCACAGCGACAAGTTTACCTCGAATTACTTTTTCCCCAACGACGATCAACAAGTAGAGTCTATGGACTTAACGTGCGGCTTATACCCCGAGACGCCTTAACGCGGTGCTGACTAAACAATAGACACCATTACTTGACGCTTCTTTTGGACAATGAACTGTTTCTGGCCCCTGTGAAGACAGACTCTATACAGGTGGGGTGTTCTCGCAAAATCCCAAGCTGGTTGAAAGTATTTGTGTTGACTTGTACAACGCTTCTCGTAGCGAGTTCTAGATGTGGGTACCGGAAGCGGTGAGTTTTTGACAGTTCCTCCTTTGGATCTCCACTAACAGCTTCGTAGGCATCTGGGCTATGTATGACATTCCGACGAGTCCGGAAATGCTGCCTGCTTACAGACTATAGTGAATTTGCCGATCGATATCCCAGTACAGAAGTAATTGGCACGGATCTCTCCCCTTGCCAACCCCAATGGATTCCCCCGAATCTTCGTTTCGAAATTGACGATGCCACCCAGTCCTGGACATGGAAGGAGAACTATTTTAATTTTATTCATATCCGATATCTCTTTGGTGCAATTAAAGACTGGAACAGTCTCTTTAAAGAAGCATACCGATGTTGTGCACCAGGAGGCTGGGTCCAGTCAGGCGAGGCCGACGTCACATTCCGTAGTGATGATGGAACTACCGAGCTGGAACCTGTTTTCAAAACCTACCAGAAGCTCTTTGAAGACGGGAGCCAAATTCTAGGCAACCCCTTCTTCGTCCACGATTTGCAACAAAAAGCCTTTGAAGAGGCTGGCTTTACAGACATCAAAACCGTTGATTACAAGGTAGGCTTCTCTAGAACTTGGTTGCAGTTGACTGAAACGATATCTTGCAGTTCCCTATTGGAGGCTGGCCTAAGGATCCAAAACTCGCCGAGGTCGGTCAGTTTGTTAAGGCAACGCTGGAGAACGACTTAGAGGGTAAGACAACCAACCTTTAACCACTGACGGATTTCTCACGCCTGATAGGTTACACTCTTATGATGTGGCAAGACGTTTGCCAATGGCCCAAAGAAGAATACCAGGTGTTTCTCATGAGCTTGCGCAGAGCGATACGTAACCCCAAGGTACATAGTTACATGACTGTGCGTTACGTGTACGGTCGCAAGTAGGCTAGCTACGTTACGTAGTTGGCGATCGTTACGGTGATGCAATATTTCTTCTCACAGGCTAGTGGGGTTAGGAGGACAGACAACCAGCCGAAAGCAATCTGTTATTGGGAAAATAGATGGGGTACAAGCATTGACCTTCGTAAACAAGAACGAAATCACTGCAATTGCAAGACTTTGACAGCTGCAGTAGGAGAGGGTAGCCTTCGCGCACTATTGCCTACCAGGCGTCATGCGTTCCCAAGTTCAAAACACAAACAGCTCGCTTCTCATCCATCCTTTGATGAGTAGAAACATAATAAGTTGCTGGTACGACAGGACCATCCTCCTGATTACCACAATGGAAAAGAACAGGATGTTGAGAGTATGTAAATCAGGCGGATTGTGTTTGAACGTAACACTGGTGTCTATTTTATGTCAGGTAAAAGCCCATTTAAACCAGCTGCTAGGTAATGGTAATCTCCTCCCAGCTGTTATCCTTTACTGCCTCGCCTTTCATGATTCCGTGAACATAGCTATCTCCGACCAGTTGATAAGTGCCGTCAGCTCGAGGCCTCAAAACCAATGGCACCGGACAAGACGAAACCACCCAGACACTGTCTCCTTCAAGTGCCGACGAGAAAGCCAATCCCAAATGCCCTTGGTCTGTCAAGAAAACTCGCCGCTGACCAGCGTATGTACCTAACAACATGGCGTACTGAGAAGCCAGGGAAAACGTATCCGCGAGTTCCTTGGCCACCGTGGATGTCCACTCTAAGTTAAGGTCCGAGGAAAAGCCAGTAATTGAGGATGTCGACGCCATGTATGAAAAGATTGACGACAGCTGTGAGTCCGGAGGATCAGAAGGCCCTAATTTTTGAAGCATCTGTTTTATCCATTTGATACTTGGAAGCATATCACATGCTTCATCCCCATCCCGGTTCACAAGAGATAGGTAGTTCGTCATTTGTTCCAAGATTGAAAGCCGTTCGTTGACTGTCATTGAGCGATCCCAAACCCGCAAGTGATGAAACACGATAAAGGACAGCCAGGCTTTGAAACAACCGCCAAGTGCCGAGCTATCTGCGGTTGAGTCGTGTATGTTCGAGCCAAAGATGAAAGTGCGCCAACAAGCTTCGATGCTGAGTTCTCCAGTCGGTTTGTAGTGCTGCCCGCATCGTAGCAGAAGATCTGCAAAAGGTTCGATATTGAAATAGTAAGCGAGTTCAAAGAATTGATAAGACCCTGGAAGGATCTGCCCAACGCGAAGAGCTTGGACAGAGAGCCTTGAGCCAGCGATAGTAAATCCCAGAGAGCCAATCTCACTGTATCGCGCGGCGTCCAAACGATCATCGCTGTTGCCACGAGCAAAAAGGATAGGAGCAGTCCTTGCAGCAGAGCGCTCGTTGGAGAAATTAGGTACCCACGATGGTAGATCATCTGAAGGCAGATTCTGTGTGCCATGGTGGAATTCTGCAAAACCAGCCAAAGATATGAATCCCAGGTGATTACAATGATGCAGGATATTCTTTGTGGCGGCGGTAAAAACCTGAGCAACTGTCGCCTTATAATCGACTTCCAAATCGCATCGAGGAATTCCCATGTGGCTCGCAGCGATATTAACCATTCCTAACAACGAATAGACCCTATCACGGGAATTCGTAACCTGGAACTTATGGCAAGCCATCATCATGTATGCTAACTGAGAACTGGCGGTTGTTTTCCAATTATCAGTGCCGGTGAGCTCTTCGATGACAGAAAGCAACGGGTGATCTTTTGGGTTTTTCAACCTTTCGAGGGACATCTTGATCACGGTGATGAAGTGCGTGGCGTAGGGTCCTGGTGACCATGAAACTTGTTCCACTCTAGCCATTGCCAACGCAGCGTTCGGAAGCCAGCCCAGTCTTTTTATCATCGCCAGAGCGGAGGCGAGCTCTTCCCATGAGATACTTTCGCTGTTGCCCAGGAACACAAAGGTATGCCTAGCTAGAACGGTTTCTTGAATCACCCAAGCTCTGCGGAACCAATTTCGCTCCAGGAGTTCAACGAATGGCTTCCAGGCTAAAGAAGGAATAGGTGGAAGACCCAACCTTTCGATTTCGCCTTTGTCTAGGCTCACTTCATCCCCATCTGTCTTTTCAACCAAGCTAGCGAGTTTCTGTATCAGATGAATGGCCACGTCAGAATCTTTTCCGCCTTCACCAAGCCAGATATCGACTCGCGCCGCCATGCTGTATATTTCGCTCATAATGCCGACCTGGATCTCGCGCTCCCTTCGGCTGGTCTGATCAATACATATTGCATCGATCCACAGATACCAATCAAATTCTTCGAACCGAACGAGAGCATTGAATAAATTCGCTTGGACGTAGAGTCTTCCACCGTTCACCAGTATGCACGATGAATCGGAGTCGGTAGACTTGCCATCGCCCTCTGGCGGACCCCATGTATATGATAGTGCGTGGTAATCAAGCCTCTTTGCCTCATCCAGAGAATGAGTGGTCAAGTCAATGTTTAACCTGTCCGATAACAGCCCGCGTGTCCGCTGGCGTATCTGTACCAAACGAATGTGTGTCGAATCGAGTGCTGATTCGTATTTGAACTTATTACTAAACGTACTGCTTCTGCGGAAAGATGTCCATGGCGATGGGGCCATTCTTGGAAGATGGAGTTGAAATTAAGATTTTGGTCTTTGGAGCTAATTTCTTGAGTGAATAACTATAGTAGAAGGAATAATTCTTGAAGGTGGATGTTGGGACTTTGCGAAATGCGTTTTACCATTTCCCCTTTTCCATGCATGAATATGTAACGTCTTATTGGTTCGCTGTTGCCGCGCGCTTGGATCTCATAGAACCAACAAGGCTGAAGTAATCGTTGGTACTGAAGTTTCATCTAAAGTAAACCATTCTTAATTTATTTTCAGATCCTGCCCTTGTTCTTTCGTTTCGACTCTTCACTTTGATCGGACATTTACATACATCCTGTCCACTCTTCATGCCCTTCAAAACACCACTCCAAGTCGTACAATATCTCGGAGGTTATCGCCAATCAGCTATTTGCAACTAGATTGGTGTGGACAGAGCAAAGTGATCTGCATCTATGGACTATTGTTACACCTGTTTCTTGGAGTTGGCGCGGTTCAGTTTTGCCCTCTGTGACAACATATGCCCGAAGAGGATGTAAAATGCTGCGACACATTAGTACAGAACCCTTAGCCATGCAGTTTGATATTAGTACCTGGAATATAGATCGCTAGCCCAAACCAAAGCAGATACTGATACGCTGGGTTTCGAGCTTGAGATGGCTGGATGACTTCGTAAACAAGTTTCATCTCCGAGAGAATACCAATTGGGTAAAGGACGATGAACATGTTGTATCTGCCCTTGGTCAGTTTCTTTCTCTTATTGCAAATATTTCATGCCTCTTACCTCAGCCATGTCAATGCTCCTGGCACAGATCCCGCTCCAGTCTGAAGTGTAAAATAGAAGTATCGAATTGCATCGGCCGCATTCCAAGCTATGAGCATAAGACTATACGCAGTCTCCCTCAAGCCAACTTCCGGATAGTTTCGTGTAATTGCCCAGACAATGGTGTTTCGACCAGCTACCTGCAGCGCCGTCGTGGCTGGAGCAGCTCGCACAAGACCAGTAACAGCATGGATGATTTCCATCACCGTCAAAGTTTCAGTCCATCGTGCTAAAATGTTGAGTTCATCCCATACAGCGCTATTGCCTTGGGTTAACCACAGATATGTAGTTCTGAGCAAGAGGGCTGTTCGAAGAAGGGCTGAGAGGGTGTTGTAGAGGAATAAATATGCGGATGGCTTAGGCCGTGAATCAGAAGTTGATCGCGCCATGTTTGCTTTAGACAAAGAAGTGTAAGAATAAGATCTTAGATTTAGATCTCCTTTAAAAATTCCACGACACGCTAAACAGGCCACTAATGCGGATTGAGTTATACCGAGGCTGACGCCTGAGAACTTCCAAATTGAGATACTACGCCGGACATTAACTGGAGACAACACCACTTATGTCGGAGACGAACTTGAATGTGCTGAGATCTATTTCTGTGTCTAGAGCTGAGGTGCAAGAAAACTTCTGACTTCTATACTAAATGACAGAAAGATTTAGGTAAATTTAGTATAGATTTAGTGGATCTTTAGCTTAGTCTTTTTTTTGGCACCCGACCCTAATTTCCGGTCAGAAGCTTTCTTGCTCCCTAAGGGGTGCATAAGTAGGGCCTTTTGACCTTGGGCACCGAGGTTGTGGTTGTACTCATGTTCGTATCCTCACCTGTGATCGAGGTCTCTCTACTGCACTTCATATCGAAATCCATCTTTATTGGCCGTAGAGAAACTTCTGCTCTTTGAAAGGGGTGACAGCTTTACTGTGAATTTTAAGCATTAATATCGCTGTTACCTATAACGAGTATAACTGGAACCAGATACCTATGGCTGATGGGCTGCGACACTTCCTTTGCGATATGGTGGTGACACGATCTGAGCTACCTAAGCCCTTACATGAGAGCGGGCTCCTTCCCACTCACTATGAGCGATCTGTACCATTCTCCAGCGATTTAGACTCACACCTTGAGCGAATGAGTCGTTGTGGAAGATATTGACCTTGGCATGGATATGGGGGACTTGTGCTGGGTCGAGATTGAAATGAGAGCGAATGAACTCCGAGAATAGCTTCATAGACTCGCTTGATGTGAAGACGAATAGTAATACTAATTCCCGGAAGACCTCAACCAGGTATTCCTAACGCAGGCCAGATACCTTGGTGATCCCACTATTGAGATACAGGGGCAGCCCAGTGGCATCGATAGGAGACAAGAAGCGGCAATGGTGACCATCTGATGATAGATTTCTAATCGGATGTCTCTTACCAAAGAGATACCGTCCAAGACAGTCTTGACCTTAGGCACCGAGGGTATAGTTGTTCTCATTTTCGTAGCGAAATTGTGGTACCGGGAGGCTATGCGACAGCAGGAGTTGAATCAATATCCATGCCAATATTGCCAGCGGTCAGAATCGTAGGCGTTCTGCGTGGTCTTGCGCTTCTTGCGCGGTGGCTAAAGAGATCTATTAGCTTTGGATAATTGTAATTGGCACTTAGTAAACCAACTCACATTTTCATTCAATGGCATGGTGGTGAATTTGATAGCATCCACCAGCCTCGCGCTCAGGGTCCGCGGGCCCTGAAAACATATTCATATGATGCGAATGCTGATAGACGAACGTACCAGCTTTTTCGTTTGATGTGAGCGCGCTGGCGCTGATGAGCGAGCGAAAATGAAGAAGAGTGAGTTGGGGAGAATGAGCGGAGAAAATTGAGGTGTAAGAAAGAAGAGAATTTAGGAGGAGATATATACCAATCTAGATACAGATATCACCATAGACAGGCAGTAGATAGCGAGTCATCTTTCAAGAGACTTTACCGGCAATGCTGACGGGTAATCTGTTGAATTGCTTTCCACTTTCTAATAACCATTGTGATAGTGCTACTATTTAGGACCAACAATAAATCTAAGCTCCGCGATAAATCGCCCACTCTCCATGATAACATCGCCTCGGTGCTCGATATATTTACCAGCTGAGTCAATGAGACCGTATACTTTCATCTTTTCAGGGACTTGAAACGTTTGTCTCCCAGCATTTGCCTTGATCCTATCACCACCAGTACCAAAAGGCCCTAGCTTTCTTTCCGTAGTGTTGATAATCAAGTTGAATATGACCTTCTTGGTAGTATCCTCAGCTAGAACTCCTGTGCTCCATGTTGCTCCTGTGATCGCTTCGTCATCATCTAGAAAGATCGACTTCTTATTGCGGCCAAAGCCGCCAAACCGGATACCGTCATTGGCTTTTGTCTCAGCCAGAAGAGAGTCCACGGCGAAATCGTAGGAGACTTCGAATCTGATGATATCTGAAGGAGATGCTTTCTCTAGCTCAAAGACATGATCTGCCAGATCAGGGTCATCACCCATATATGCTTTTTGGTAGATCCTGTCATAATCTCCTGTCCACTCCAAGGCTTGACCCGCGACACTTTCGAATACCTTGATCAGAGACTGTATGGTCGTGCCAAATTCTTTAGGACTGTCAAATGACATCGCAGCTGAAGGATCTTCGGCACATTTTGTAGCCTGGCTTGTAAGCTTCGAAATGGCATCGAAAATTGCTTTCATCAAAATCGAATGTGCACAAGCGTCCAGTCGCATCGCCGCGAGATCATGAATTGTCCTCCTCGAGTCTTCGTAAGGTAATTCACCAGAGAACAACTCAAGTCCAATGATAGGCACATTGTAGTTTCCACCAGTTGGTCGAAAGAACTGACTCATACGAGCCCATGGAAGGCCCCGAGGTAATTGACGAGATCCGGGCTCTCTGGCAAGGCGAAAGAGTGAAGCGACGGGCATTCGAACATTAACAGGATAGCTATCAGCTGCGATCCCAAGTGTGCAACCGACGTAGTAAAAAAGTGCCGATGAGCCAGCAAACTCATGACCAAGTCCAGCGAGCGAGGCCAGAAAGAACCACTGCGTGAAAGATAGAGACTTTCCGACACTCTCAGGACCGTTATACTCGAAACCTCCGTCGAAGATAATGTTGCTGAAATCACCAGATAAGCCGAGAACCTGATCCCATGTTTTACCCTGAGCAGCGGCAATGGTTGTCACTGCTTTGAACAGTTCTTTTGCTCTCGCCTCACAGGCTGTAGCATGCATTTTATGATGCTCATAGTACGACTGACACTGTTTTGTCAATCCAGTATATCGTTGCCCACGCTCAAATGGGCCCATCTTCATTTTGCGAGTATGGCCTCTCAGAGAGGGAAGTAAACAGAAGTTAAAAGTCGGTTTGCCAACTATGGCCAGAACTTGAGCTCTTATTTTTCCTTTTGTCTCAGTCCAAGGACAATCAGCCTAACTCAGCCGCAGCTGAATGTGACCTGCCCCAGCATTTAAATCATGGCTTTTTATAACGGATGTAATTGGTCAAGTTTTCGCTTAAAGTAACGGTAACAAAACTAACACCAGTGCCCCCTCATTTATTCCGCTGTGGTTACGAACAGCTGACCTTCAGCCAGGAGTCAATGTAAGCAGCTATATCAACCGCCGCTATTATCATTTAATAAGCTACATTACTATATCACTTTCCGCTTCTTGGCCTTTATAGAATATAGAGATTACCACAACTCAGAAAGATGTCAGCTTTTAGTTTATGATCATCTGCTAAGGATCGTGATCATTGAAACTAACTATTAAACATCCCATCCTCATCTCACTCCTCCACTAGCGATGACCAAGCATATTCGATTTGGCTGCCAGATATTGGGGTCACCTCGATGCCCTTCAGCACTGTATAGAATGATCCTGGCCGTAGAGCTGAGCTATTCCATGAGGTGTCTTTTCCGGTTCACATTTGCGACCCTTCATGAAATGTTGCGGTAACGTGGTTATCTCCCAGTCTCCCCATTTCTTCTCCTCCCTGCGATCAAGAAGTGTAACCACCAACTTCTCCCTCCGCTTACTTAGCGCACGCATCGACTTCATGAACTCCTTGTTATTCTCATCATTCGTGACAATCAACTGCTTGAGACCAGGAACCCACTCCGGAAGTGCACAGAGCTCATCTAGCGCTTTCGCACTGATCTTGATACAGCCGCATGTGCTGGTGCTAGACGGGGTGATCTCGAGGAGCCTTAGGTCTGGGCAGTTGGAGATCAAGCCGAGGAAACCCTCGTCGCCGACTTGGTCTGCGCTGGGGAGACTGACGGTTCTGAAGTTGGGGAGACCTTTGGCTAGACGGACGACAGCTTCGTTGGTGAGATCTCCGGCACCATTCTTTGCATCGTAGCTGACGTCGCTGAAATTGAAAAGAAAACGCCAGATCTTTTCACGAACTCGACGTGGCAGGACCAAAATGTCGTCGATATGGTCACTAATAATGTCGTGTCAGCACCCTCTACGGTATTGTAGACTGAATAAACTAGCTTACTCAGTTAAGACAAATTCAAAGCCAAAGTAGATATCTCTGGTCGATGTTCCGATAATGTTATGATATTTGCCATCCCAGTCAGTTACGCTGCTTTGGAAACAGGCCTCTTTGACGCGTCGGTGCCGGGAGCTGGGGCATCAGCTGCTGAGTTGCTTTTGGCGGTTCGGATGGGAGGCATCGTAAAAATGTGTGGATCTGTACTCTTTGCGATAGATACTGAGAACGCTAGGTGGTATTTGTATAGCGAAGGTGCTGTCAGACAGCACCTCAGGAATGGAGGTTGGGGGGAAGCTCAGACGCCACGAGAGCGACGCGGGTTGGGGATACACTTTAGGTGACTTAATTCATATCTGATGACGCTCAAAAACGGACGGACGGTACATTCAGTTCAATGCCGTGACTTACATCGCGTATATTCAACAGACTAATTGGCCTAGGAAAACTTGGGAAGAATAGCGCCGGTTGTTGCTTCGGCCTTCATCTTTTTGCAATCCAGCCCACCAACTAGGGATTAAGGTGAAGATGCGGATTGTGCTCTTATGGCACGAGCATGTATCTGGACAGACCGTGGCTTGAGGCTGACACGTAATCAATTTATGCTACTGCACATTGCCACTTTTCATTGGCTTCTTTGGATACTTGCACAAATTTTGACATACCTGCGCCATGCCTCAGCGCCTCAGCGTATCAACCATGCCCGAGCTGCAGAGGGTGAACCCCGAATTCGGTCTCACCATTCCGGGCCTTCACCTGCCCCGTCTGTTTTCAAGACGGCCAACATGATCAATCGAACGTATATCAGGGGGAACTGGACGAATCTCGCATGTATCCGATCGAATTCGGCATGAACGCACCAGAGTCGCACAATCTGCCTACTGATATGTTACGCTGGATGATGAGTCTATAAATGCGGCTCCCGCGCAGCGAGAAAATGATCATCTAGCCTCATAACCATGCCCAGTCGAATACTTATCCTTACTGCTCCTTCTGGTGAGACCAAGCATGCGGTAGGCACTGTGTTTTACTTCAAGTACTACACCAAACAATGCGAGCTGGTTGTGCTTCGCGATAGTGGGGAGTCATCCGCCTCTGATAGCCCACAAAGATGTCTTGACGATTGTTCAACTATTTAGAAAATCCCGGACACGGGAAGAAACACGCCAGCAGTTGTTACTATCCTGTAGTCTTCCGGATGGTGATGCTCGTTAAGCCTGGGCACCCTTGTCGCCTCCCTTGGGAGTAGTGTTTGGAGTTTGTGAGTCCTTACGCATGTTCTCACCATTGGCAGGAGCTGCCTGCCTCTGTGATTGTGCCTGTTGCAGTTGAGCTCGAGGTGACTGGGGTTGTTACTGCTGTTGGGGCATTGGCTGTTGCGGCTGGGTAAGCTGGGCGCTCTGAGCTTGAGGTGTACCCTGCTGTTTAGCCATATCCGCATTTCGAGCATTTATAAGATCCTTTGCCATACTCTCGAGTAAATCTCGAGCGTGGTCAATCTCGGATGATCGAATCGAGAAGGCATCTTTGAGAATCGACATCTTCTCGTCATCAGCGAACTGTTTCAAAATCCTCCACCGCTGAGTCGAGTTAGTATAAGTCATTGTATTAGGTTTTGAACTTACCGTTCGGAAGAATACCCTAGCACGTGCGTCATCACGAGTGATGCCATACCACTTGCGGACGAGACGACTAATCTTGCTTATGTCTACTACGATTCTTTGGAGCTTGGCAGCCGTCTGACTGTGCTCTTGTGGCATCATAGTAATATCAGGCATGGCTTCCTGAACTACTTGTCGCCGCTCCTCCTGTCTCAGTGCTATGAGGTGTGCTATGGTCTTATTTATAGCCTGATTCGGTTGGGCTCGGTTGTTAGCGGGCTGTGGTTCAGGTCGTGTCTGCTCTGGAGTAACGCTGGGCTGCTTTTGGCCGTTCGTTTGAGGAGTGACATTTTGTGCCATCGCATTCGGTACTGGCACATTCTGAGGTCGAGGCGTCTGGTTTGGCTGAGGTGATTGCTGTTGAGAAGGACCTTGAGGCACACCCATCTGGCTCTGTGCGCCTTGCTGACTTTGATCAGGTGCTATCTGGGCTCTCGTTTTCGCCTGAGCTTGTTGATTTCGTATATGCTGTTGCACCAGAGCTTGTTGGTTACGCATCTGCTGTTGTTGCCCCCATGAGTCCTTTTTCATCTCAAGAACTATGTTGTGCAACTGGTCATCAGGTATCTGAGCCAGATTGGGTCGCTGATTTCGGACCTCCGCCATGTCGTCTGGAAAGACCTGAAGAACATGTGGTGGGAAGTCTTGAGGCACCTGTGGTTGTACATCATATACGGTATTGGGACCAAGTGCGCCGGCCGGTTGCATACCAGGGTTGGCGCTGTTCTGGCCAGGCTGTTGCAGCTGTGGAGGTTCCTGGCCCTGTTGAGGCGATAGCTGTTGCTGCCCTGGCTGCTTTTCCTGTGGCTGATTGGTGGATGACTCACGACGCAGACCTTGGGAATGGTTTAAATTATTCCTCTTTGAAGTAGATGTGTGCCTGAGTATAGGTTTCGAAGTAATAACAGGAGTGTGGTATTTCTTTCTGTGGTTCGTGAGAGCTTGATTCGACACCAAGGGGGGATATTGGCATCCGGGAACCGTACATTGAAACCATCGAATGTGCGTACGTTCATGCTCCATGAGAAGCTTCGCGGTATTGAAACCAATAGTTGCATACGAGCATGAAGTTAATCGGCAAGTGAAAGCGGCAGTTCCGAAGTGAACTTTGAATGACTCTAGTTCATCGGGAGAAATGCCAGGGTAATAGGTTTGGCTAAGCAAGAACTTGACAAGCTCCTGATACGACGCCAGCAACGTCCCGATCTTATCGGAGATAGGCTGAGTTGTCGAACGCTGCTGCTTTACATGGTTATCTCAGCACATAGTTAGTATAACGTTGAACAAATATTCAGCGGCTGTCTTACGATGATCTTGCAAAATTCTGGACTTTAGGCTGTCCAGGGATCTTCCTCTCAAGGCTCGGTCCACGTGTTTTTGAAGCACTTGGTACTGTTGCAGGAATTCCAGCCGCTTATCTATTGGCTTAATCATAGGATCGTCGGCCATTACTGTCGGATCTGTGCGTTCCAACTCATCTGCTAGTTCACAAGCAAGACTAATCAAAGATTCTGGCAACGAGTCTGCTGTGATCGTATTGTTCGAACTAGCACAGGAGAACAGATACTCCGTCCAGAACTCGGTGGCATAAACATGGAATCCATGCAATCCTTTGGCTACCCGGAGAACCCTATCGTGTGCTGGGTATGCATCGTCAAAGGTTTTCAGCCCCGAGAGAAGGCAAGCCACTGTAGCTACTCCGTGTTCCTGGAAGGCTTGCCGCTCTCTAATAACAATGCTTTGTGAGGATGTCTGAAGGAAGCTGTTCTAAAGTCAACAAAGTTTCTACGTCTAAGCTCATTACTTACTCTTTCACAGAATTATGAATGAAAGCCAGGGTTGAATCCTTCCTCTCTTCAATGAGCGTACCAGTCATGTCGATTATATACTCAGGTACCAAATCAGAGATCTTGGAGTCGCCAGAACTGAAAGTGATAGCAGACAATAGTTCGGCTCTGCGTAATGGCCTCTTGGCGAACGCAATCCACCCTAGTATGCATCTTATGCGGTCCTCTGAGCGGCGGTCTAGTGGGGCCAATATGTGACTCAAGATTCTTTGGTAGCTAAAAATAGTGTCAGTAAAGTATGTTCACAAGGGGTGAAATTACTTATCGTACAAATCGGTGAGTTTCCGCGGCAGCTGATTTACCGATTCTTTGAACTCATAACCACTGAAGAAGATGTTGCTTGAGAGATAATCCATGACAAGTCGAGCGTAAAGAAACATTCCTTGAAAGGGTGAGCTGATGCTATTCTAAAAGCAAAGGAATTCCACAGCTACTCACCGTCAGACTTTGTCACGATCACGCCCTGGATTTCCTCGATGTCGGCATGTTGTAATTTGAGTTGGCGGAGCTTTACATCCATCGATTTGAGTCTCTGGTCAACATACTGACGAATTGTCGCGTTCAACAAAGTCTTTTCCTCGCTTAAAGAGACAATCTGCTTTCTCTTGAGTCGGTCCAACGAAGTTGATGGTGCCCGGCTGGAAAGCAAAACCTTGCAAGCGGTACTTCCTGGGATCACTTGACATACTTGCGAGAAGCTTTTGCAGTAGTTGCTCCAGAGCTGTAGTTGTCGGGGACTTCTTTTCCATGATGCATGACTTGTACACATGAGCAGCAAGATCTGCGTCCTTCCGAAGGACTTGGAGCAGCAACAACTTTAGTATCTGCTCGTACATTGTTGAGGATGCGTAAAGGTATGTGCAGAAGTGGCATACCACAAACTTGGTCCCTTTCAGAAAGTTGACAAGCTGGGTGCACAAGACGCTTTTTCCAGTTCCGGCTGACCCCTTCAACCACAGGGCCGGTGTGTCTGGCTTGGCATCAGCCCAGGAACGGACCTTTTTGTTCTTCAGTATCCATCCACAAGTTCCTTGATACTCTGCAGCTTCGGACGATATCGATTCGATGATAGCCAGTTGATCGGCGTCATTGACCTTAAGCCAAGACACGATGGATTCGTACTGTTTTGCACTGTGTTCAATATCCTCCTGTCGAACTCGATTTTCACTCTCTTCTCTCCATTTGCGGATATCGTCTCGCATTGTCTTCGCTTGGGAGATGTCGCGAGCGTTGGCTTCAAGATCAATCAAGGTACCGTGCTGCTTTAAATCCTCGAGGATGTTTCCGAACCTCCTCTCGAAACGACCCCAAGATGCGGAAAATATCAGTGTCCAGCCTAAGCGATGTTAAAAGACAGGACTACACATGGAGCAGTGAAAGCATACCACTCCGTCGAACAAATTTGTAAGCAGACTTGTGGAATTTGAGGATGTCTGCATAAAAGACTGCTACCGTCTGCTGGAAGTCTGGTTCATTGATGAAGGCATCGCTGAGAATCTCAAAACGCTTCAATGACTCTGCAATACTAGCATAGCCTTTGATGATCTGTTCAAAGGCTTCGACGAATTCGGATGCTATTCGTAAGATGAGAGTAATTGGGGCCCATATCCATGGTAAGTATGGAGTGCCGTTGCATAGGATATCCACCACCTTGGAGTAGTGTTCGAGACCTCGGAATAATGGCAGGAGGCGGCGCATATTTTGAAGAGATTGTCTGGCGGCGAGTTGATTCTCAATTTTCAGAGCAGCCTCACGAACATCTTGTAACGCTGTGTTGGGGAAATCTCGCTTGTCTGCCAAATTGATTGTGCGATCAAGTTCATCGTAGGCAGTCTTGATCGTGTTCCTCGCAAGAGCCGACACGGCAGGTTTGAGTGGCATCTTGATCGTGCTTATTGATAAGTAAAGTGTGGTCAATCGAGCAAAAATATGTCAAGATCAGGGCTGATGTTATGCTTAAGCTCGAGAGCCTCGTTCGAAAATGCGCAGGCAATTGAAACACTGCCACCGCCAAATCGACAATTTCTCGGGGATCGATGAGAATGATGCATATGTGAGAATATTGGCACCAATCAATCCATCATGAAAGCGCCACAACGCTGCAATGCCACGGGGCCATGCGCGAGGCAGCGGGCGAAGCTGACCGCCTTGTCACAGGCGGCAGTATGGTGTCTTAGAATCGACTGAGCCTCAAAACATTCCGCCGTTATTGTAATAGCTATCGCATCCGACTCCTTTCAATTCGCTACTGTATCTTGAATTAAGATACTGACATGCTTTCCTGGGACCACGGTTACATAACGTCCACCTTTTGCTCACCACCCCACGAAACCCACCGGCTGGTTCGAGAAGAGCTTTTATCATTGCCCTTCGACAAATGAGAAATTTTCTCTCCTTTTGTTAATTTGGCTAGCTTGCCACAGGGATTTCCACATAATGGACTCGGGTCAAATTATGAGCGGAGGGTCTAAGCGACGACGGATAGACGAAGGCGAGGAGCAAGCCCGAAGAAGCGATCCTCAATATCAAACATCCTGGAGTCGGTCTAATTTCGAACTCCTGGACCTACCAGTAGCCACAACTCAACGACACTATGAGAGGGCCCCTTGTGGTAACGTTCAAACTACATGGAACGAGAACTCAGGATATGCTACGTCAGTCGATAACGCGATAAACTACCACATGGGTAGCTGGAACAGTCAATCTTACCCTTACCAGTCACAGAATACTGTGGGAATTGAACCAAGTTATTCCTATCCAAACGACATCACCTTGCAATGGTGGTCATTCTCTAACACCCCACTTCATTCTCATGAGCCATCACAAGCTCATGTGCCGATGTTCTTACCGTCATACCAGCAGTACCCTCTTTCTGGTACTCAAATAGGTCAGCCGACCACCAGCTTTCAGCAATGGCCAGAGTCTTCCGTAGAGGATACATTACTGCAATCGCTTCCGTATCATAGCGATCTGCCCCAGAATCAAACGATCGATTCTGGGTCATCCTCAGCACTGCCACATCCAGATGAAGGAGCTGATGTGATTGTGTGCTTTGGCATGGTGCGTAACACAATTCATGATGTCCGTCGCGGAAATATTAACTCCATAGGTTCCGTCTATCTCTGCCAGATGTAATCAGAGAGGAACAACACAAAGTCTACCAGCATCGTTCCCAGTCGAACTAGAGGGTTCGACTTGCTTCTCCGCCAAAGACCCTTTCAGCGTCTCGGGGCAGATATTGTCGGAGTATGGTCAGATGATACAGGGGCTTCTCGATGAGAAGTCTCTCGAACTTCACGTCTCGTGCCTCATTGATGATTTTCACTCTGTAGACGCCCAGAAACCACCACGCGGCCTTTCAACAATCTCATGCAATTTGGAAATTTCGGTTTATGGTCCTTTAGAGCTTTTTGATGAATTAGGCACCTGGTTTGAGCACTACCAGATCTACTTACAAGATCCTCGAGAATGTCATCGCGAAGTCAGATACTGTAACCCCCATCGACTCTCGACAGACGATATTTCCGCTTGCCCTCTCCTGTATGACATCATCTCTCAGAGCTCAAAGTCTCTACAGCTGGAGATCATCGCTCAACAACCTGACCTGCTGGATGAACTAAGTAGCCATGAGGATCTAGAGGAGGCCCCCCAACCTTCGGCCATCAAGCGGGAACTAAGAAGGTAAGTAGCCGCATGTATTCTTGTATTTAGTCATAGAGCTGACTGTGTACCAGGCATCAAAAGCAAGCCCTAACATTCATGCTCCGCCGCGAACAGGGATGGGCGTTCTTTGATCAAGAGCCAGACATCTGGGAGATTAAGGATACAGATCAAGGAAGAGTGTGAGTTCAAACCGTCTTTTTACGCGCTTCAATCGTTGACTAATTTTGTAGTTTCCTGAACCGAGTCTCCAATGCTTTCCAGTTGGAGGAACCCCCTCAGTGTTACGGTGGCATTGTTGCGGATCCTATGGGACTTGGAAAGACTTTGACTATGATAGCATTGGCAGCAACGGACTTGGACAACGAAGGTTCTCATATGAAAATTGGCGAAGATTTACATCCAGAGGTCCCGGCTACTCTCATTGTTGTGCCACCTCCTTGTGAGTCCGCGTTTCCGTACTGATCTACAAAAATTGAACTAACATTTCCTAGTGATAGGAACCTGGGAGGAGCAGCTCTTCGAGTTCGTGTTGACACCTCATCTCAATACTAGAGACTGACAATGTGGCAGGCATGTCATTGAGGGCGGCTTGAGTTGCCGCCGACATCACCGAGAAGGCCGACTGACATCTGTTGGCGAGATCGAGGGGACTAACATCATCCTAACAACATATCACACCATTTCCGCTGAGTGGAACCCGTCAAATAAGGGAAGAAGCTCCGTCTTGTTCTCTGTGCGTTGGAGAAGGATCATCCTTGATGAAGGCAAGCTCACCAGGACCAAGAACAACGCATACTCAGACTGACAACTACAGCACATCTTATCCGAAATAGTAACTCGCGAATGTCTCAAGCCATCTGCGCGCTGGAGTCCAGGTCTCGATGGGCCGTCACTGGTACTCCTATTCAAAATCGCCTTGGCGACCTTGCAACTCTATTCAAGTTTATCAGGGCCCATCCCTACACAGATCGGAGATGCTTCGATGTCGATATCTCTCGTCTCTGGAAGTCTGGCGAATATCAGGAAGCCATCAAAAGACTCAAGCGTCTCTCGAAGTGTCTTCTACTCCGGCGAGATAAGGGAACGGTCAGTCTCCCGCCCAAGGAAGATCTGCAATGTCCTGTCGACTTCAAGCCGGAAGAACGAGCTTTGTACAGTAAGTTACGCCAAAAGGCTATCGTTAGTATAGACGATGCTTTGGAGAGGGATTCCGATTCCGTCAAATCAGGCGCCTACGTCAATGTCCTACAGCAAATCGAGTCACTACGGCTCGTGTGCAACTTAGGACTTCACTACCACACGAGACATGACAAAGTGATGCAAAACATTCAAGAAGTCGATGAGTGGACGAAAATCGCCCAGGATACCTTTAACATGCAGCGAGAGATGGGTGCCATGGTTTGCCTGCTATGTTCGTCGGCATCGGACATCACCGAGACGATCTTAGAAGACCTCACAAGCACTCCCAAGAATCCTCTATTCTTCAGCTGTCTTCGTTTCATCTGTGCTGAGTGCGCACAAAGGCCAAACCAGAATGTCGGATGCGGTCATAATCCTCGTTGTGCCATGGCTCAAATCTCGACGAGCGGCCAAGCTCTCGAAACGAGTTTACCTAGTATGCAGCCACAGACGGACGTCGGCCTACCATCCAAAGTGGAGGCTCTGATCACAGACATCGGGAATCTGCCACCAGATGAAAAATGGTAACCACTTCCCATATTGTGTTGGAGAAAGGTCGCTAAAACCACATAGTATCGTTTTCTCAACCTGGAGGTTGACACTTGATATCGTCGAAGCTGGGCTAGATCAGTCCTCTATCCCAAGTGTTCGGTTCGATGGAAAAGTGCCACAAAAGGACCGACAAAACCTTGTTGACAAATTTAGGAATGACCCATCTATTCGTGTTATGCTTTTGACATTATCTTGCGGCGCAGCTGGGTAGGTGACTCTTAATCGACTTATTGCCTTACGAGAGATCAAGACCACTCATTCTCTTCAGCCTAACCTTAACAGTAGCAACTAGAGCCTATCTCATGGAGCCTAATTGGTAGGCTTAGCCTTTCGATATATATAAGAAGGTTGCTAATAGGCCAGGAACCCGACTCTTGAGGAGCAAGCTCTCGCGCGCATTCACCGCATTGGACAGACACGGAAGGTCACTACTGTACGGTTCTTCGTACGCAACTCATTCGAGCAGGTAAGTGAGTTTAAGTTCTCACAAGTTATTTCTGACACAGCGATAGCAAGTCATCAAATTGCAAGAATCCAAGAAATATCTGGCAGGATTGTGCCTCTCGCCTCATAATAACGGGCATGCGAGTGAGAACCTGGGAAGGCTACAGGTTTGCCGCCAACACATTAAGCCTCGAGACTTCCTAACGTATTGCAGGAATTATTATCTCTAATTTGACGTCTCGCCATTTCTGCGTGACGAACAGATTTATTGAAGAATTTTGCGTAGCGCATCTCAGTTGGGGGCTGACTTGGCTCCACTGGTCAGCAGACAATCTTTCTATACGCTGCCCCTGTTTTCACCAAGACAATGTGAAGATATCTGCTTTTTAGGGCGGGGGGGGGGGGGGGGGGGGGTGGGGGCTGGCTCCTGCAAGCAAGACGAAGCAGCCTGAATGGTCACGCTACAGACAAAGACTATTACTTCGGTGTAACTTTAGGGACCCTTTGGAATCGTATGCTGGTGCTGACATATACAACATCTGAGACTTGACTCCCATTGGATAAACCACTTGGTGGAGATTGCACTGCGCCTGTGTTTGTAAGCACAATCGTCAACTCCGAGAGCTTAGATGTTGGCAATACGACAGGACATGATGTAGGCTGAGTAATTAAGTATCAAGATACCTGACTGAGTGCAGTATATAAGTGTTTGGATTCCTTTAACATAGATATTACTGGAATCGGATAACAAGCCTTAGAACCTACAAGCCTACTTAAGAATATCTTGTCTTTTTATCGTCTATCTCCGTAGACAAGATGGTTGATCATAGAGAAATAGTCCGACCAGTGAGTATCGCATTGAGCTATGTTCTGCAATGGCTAATATGAGTAAAGAAATACAGTTTCGATGATATCCCATCTTTGAAAGCGAAAGTTGCCCTTGTCACAGGGGCTAAGTGAGTATCTCCAAAATTTCCAATAGCATACAACCTGACAGCTTTTACAGCACTCCAGATGGCGTTGGATATCATGTCGCACACCAACTCGCTCTAAAAGGAGCAAAAGTTTACGTCGGCGCCCGCAATCTTCAAAAAGCAACAAAAGCCATCAGAGCCATGCTTGCCGAATCACCTCAATTAAAACCTGAATCTCTTCTCCCATTTGCCGTTGACATGGGGAACTTCACACAAGTCCAACATGCTGCAAGAAAAATAGTTGCAGAAGAGCCTCGTCTTGATATTCTGATCAACAATGCTGCCGTTCTTGCTAGACCCCTGGATAAAGACGCCAATGGCATCTCGGTCTCGTTTGGCATTAATCACCTGGGTCCGTTTCTTTTGACTAGGGAGCTTTTACCGTTGCTTAACAAAACTCAAGCTGAACACCCTGGTGTTCGGATCGTGAATGTTGCTTCAACGGCTCACTACGATGTTCCAGCAGGTGCAGAATTTGGATCACTAGAGGACTTCAACAATGCTTACGGTAGTGAGGATGAACCTTTCGCTAATTATCTTCGATACGGCTACTCCAAACTCGCCAGCATTCTCCACACCAAAGAACTTCAGCGACGGTTTGACCAAGAAGGCGTTGACATTCTAGCCCTCAGTGTTCATCCCGGAGGCGTTGCAACAAATGGTGCAGCGGGATATCTCGGAGGCAGAGACAACGATATCTTCAGGTCCGGCCTCTCACCTTTCGAGGGCGCTATCACTCCTTTCTTTGCTGCTGCTCACCCAGAGCCTGCTCAAGACAGAAAAGAATTTGCTGGGTCATTCATCATGCCGTTCGGTGGATTGAAAGAACCAACAGAGGATGCTAATAACGCTGAGTTGGCGAAACAGCTTTGGGCAACGTCTGAGAGGGTGGTCAGTAGTGTGTTGGATTGTTTCATTTGGGATAGCATATTGATGCCGATGGGTGGTATTTTTAATATTGGGCAAAAAGCGTAGATTCTTGTGTTCATAGATTTCTTATTATCCTCTTTATGACTACTTTCCTTGATTCTACTTCACCTGTACTGCGCTTCAGACTGCCGTGTTCAACCAACACGCACCATCAGAACTTTAATGGCTCACCCTACCATACTCAATCAATACAACCGCTTCACATAACCCTCCACGTCCAAATGATGTAAACAACACCTGACTCTCAGACATTTCCCAACTTGGCAAGTATAACCACCAAGCAAGACTCCTCTTCTCCACAAAACAATGACGCTGATCTCTGGGGTTTCCCCAAAGTCCCCAGAAAGAGTGACAAGAGCTCGGTTAAAGAGAAAAAAGTGGTTCTTGGAATCGTCAGTGAATATAAACTTGTAATGCTCCCTGATGATCTGCAGTCCTTCTGCTTTTCGTTATCCTCTTTTGTTTTTATGAATTCCTGAGGACTGATTCACGATGAGAACTTGGTTTGGTCGTGGTAAGAAACTGCAGCGTGCGGTAACATCATGCTGTCTCTGCGCTTTTGTTCTTTATGGCTATGATCAAGGTGTCTTTGGAGGTATTCTCGAGAACGAGGATTGGCTGCGGCAGTTCAATGATCCTGGCGATACTTTGACTGGCTTCATTACTTCAAGCTACAATCTTGGTTGTTTGCTCGGCTGTTTCAAGAATTTCTTCGTTGGTGAAAAGCTGGGTCGAAGATGGACTATTTGGGTTGCAATGGGCTGGATCCTTGTTGGAGCTGCGCTGCAAGCAACTGCGTTTACACGAGGACATCTCATTGTTGGGCGAATCGTCACCGGTGTCGGAACTGGTCTCAAAACGTCTACAGTTCCAATGTAAGCCCTTTCTCCAGCATATCATCTCATCATACTGACATTATGTAGGTACCAATCCGAACTTTGTGAAGGCACAAAGCGAGGCCGTCTCGTCTCTGCAGAAGTCATGTTCGTCGGAATCGGCATCGCGTTCGCATACTGGTGGGACTTTGCTTTCAGCTTCGTCGGAGGGCCATTCGCTTGGCGCTGGCCCCTCGCTTTTCAAGCCGTTTTCGCATTTTGGGTCATCTTTGTCGTATTCGGTGTACCCGAGTCGCCGCGTTGGCTACTCAATCATGGAAAGAGACAAGAGGCCATCGAAGTCCTGTCAGCCGTTTATGATAAACCTGTTGATCATCCTGATATCCTGCGTGAAGTCGAATCAATCGAGGCAGCTCTGTCGATGGAAGCTGAAGCGGAGGGAAGTACTTCTTGGGCTTCGACTTTCAGAAAAGATAAGGTCAGCACGAGGTACCGCGTTTTCCTTGCTTGGTTCGTGCAGTTTATGAACCAAGCTGGTGGAATTAACCTGGTTGTTTACTATATCTTGAGTAAGTTGCAGTCATACTCTGGTTATTAGAGATTATACTAACACTGTCAGCTGTTCTGACCGCCAACGTTGGACTCGAGCACAGACTAGCCCAGATTATCGCTGGGTGCATTCAGCTAATGTTTCCGATTGGATCACTACTCCCAACACTGGCTTTGGACAAGATGGGTCGTCGGTCTACCATGATGTGGGGATCTGCTGGACTGTCGTTCTCAATGATGATGGTAGCTGCACTTTTATCTCAGGCTGATGATACATCGCGAGGTCGAGCATTTGCTGCTGGATCAGTAGCATTCTTCTTCACCTACATGCTCGTCTTCGGTGCGAGTATGAACTGCGTTCCGTGGGTCTACGTCCCCGAGATTCTCCCCCTTCATGCTCGAACCAAGGGAACTGCTATTGGCGTCAGTTCAAACTGGCTCTGGAATTTCACAGTGGTACGTCTTATTCCCTAACATCCTTCTCTGCTTCTTTATGAATAACGATTTACAGGTCATGATCACTCCTATTCTCATCAACCGTCTCCAATGGAGGGCATATCTCATCTTTATGACCACCAACCTCATTTTTGTTCCGATTATCTTCTTCCTGTACCCCGAGACATCTAATTTGGCTCTTGAAGAAGTTGACTACATATTTGCTCGTGGTGAGAATACTGTTCAAGTGGCCCAGGAAATGCAGAAGGAACTTGCCCTTCACGGACGTTTGGCGGATGATAGATACCCTGAGAAAGCGACAAAGATGGAACGCAAGTCTCATGAGAAGGGTGACGAGTTCGTCGAACACGCACATGCTTGAATTCTAGGTCTGAAATAAGAGCCCTGGGCTATTCGTTTCATAAATGACGGGACGGGCATATAGTGGCCCGAGAAGTCAGAATCGTTGGGACCTACGTATCAAATACAGATTACAAATTTAAACACGATAACGAAATCTAACATATGATGTCGTAGAGGGAATTGCTGAAGTCGGATGATAGATCGAATTCCAGGTATTCACTTCGAGATTGGCAGCTCTCAAGACGAAGACTATGAACTGGGATTTAGTAACATTTGAATTCAGCGGTGAGCACTGGTAGTGAAGGATTAATTAAGGGGAAGCTAAAAAGAAGGTGCTTGGGGTATTAAATTTTAAGCTACTTAATAGTAACTTTGTAGTCTGTAGGTTAATCGGATATCGGCACTGACAACTGAACTGCCGAGATATTAAGCTCTGAGATGAGACAACGAACAGGCATAATTCATATGCGCCGGACGACACGGACACCGATACGAACAAAATGAACTGTAATATGCCTAGCAATGGTGGTTCATCTCGTATTTTACATATATTAAACTTTAGCAGAAACCTTACTACTGGAGAATATATCAAAGGACGACGAGGATGAATGCTCTCTATATATTGTTCATTCTCCCTTTGGCACTCCTTTCATTCCGAGCTGGCCTTTAGTTTCATCAGCTAGTTCAACAAGGGAAACTCAACTTGCTCTCTTTTTACTGACACTCAGCGCCAGATGTAAGTACTCTTGATAAATCCCCATAATCGGTACAAGAAGCGACAATACTGAAGTTCAAGCAGCTCTATCTGTCTTTCCATCTGCCCATCATGTTCGCACAGGCTGTCCTCCTCATTGCCTTGGTCTGCAAAGTATCAGGCTCACCCTACGTGGTCACCAACCCAAAGGACCTACAGAGCACCTGGTCCAGCCATGATTACAACGCCACACACGAGACCGTGCCCGGTAATGCGATCCGATGGGAGTTTACCGTGAAAGGAAGAAACGGTGTACCAGACCCAGGAAACTTTGCAGCCTCATGCCACGGCCTGCAGGTGATTTCGGATGACCTCGATCTGAAGGGAAAGCCTGACTTTGAGCGCTGCAACGATACAGCTTACGAGGCACGCCAGTACTTCTCTGAGCAGTACACGACTGTCGAGGTTCGGCGCACTGATTATCCTGATCTTGGGAAGGAGGTGCAGATCTCTGCTACGGCAAATTATACTTCGACCGACGACAATATTGTTAATGGACACTTGAACTTTGGCAATTTCCAGACATCTTTCATTTCTACACCTATTGAGGGTTAGCATTGCGTTAGACTCCGTTATCCATAATTTGTGCGCAGAACGAACATCATGCTTTAGATATCTCATAGGCGCTCAATGTACATCTCCCTCTTCACCTGCAACGTGATGTCCTTCGTGTGTGTATGTTCATATATTGTTCTCTGTATTTCATTGAGCAGACCTCTTGAAGCTCAAGAATGGAAATGTCAACTTTATATGTATGTTGACAATAGTCCATCGTATAAGGTGGCGAACACGCCAATCTCAACCGTTGATCCATTGATGGTCATCAGGAACCATATACCATACTGTTCAAGCGCAATCTTAAGATACCCCGATTTCCATCTCTCAATATTCAGAACAGTCTCAATTATATCCCTTAAGTCGCCAGAATCATAACTCCCGGCATTCACTCCGAGGATCGCTTATCTAAGAACCTTCCCCAACCCACTAGTTACCCCTCCCTCTTCCGCCTTCGGATAAAGCACCAGCTATCGGAAAACGATTTTCTTGATCAACTCAAATTACCTTCTCGTTTTGAAACAGCACGCCGTTAATATTGAAATCCTTTTCTATCATTTTCACCATTCAATAAATTTGCAGCAATGACCACTTACCAGATTCGTGAGGTTGATAACCGTGTAGAGGGGCGTCTCGCTCTCGTCACCGGAGCCAGGTACAACATGCACCCTCATGATCCATTCAATGCTAACTATTTTGAGTGGTGGGATCGGTTCAGCTATTGCCAGAGCTCTAGCAGCAGAGGGCTGCGATGTTGTACTCCACTGCAATGCCAGTCTGGTCCGTCTACCAAACCCACAGAATATCTCCTACTAAACAAGGTTTCTAGCATAAAGTCGAGGCTCTATCTAAAGAACTAACATCAGCCCACCCCGGTCAACTCTTCCCTTGCATCTCAGCCGATCTCAGTTCCCGCGATGAAACTCGCGGCTTGGTCGACAAAGTCTTTCAGGACTCTAGCATCTCCGCCAAACATAAAGCAGTATCTATTCTCGTTGCAAACGCTGGCCTCGGTAGGCGTATTCGAGATATTCAGAACATCGAAGAAGATGACTGGGATTCGGTCATGGAAGTCAACGCGAGGAGTCAGTTCGTGGTGACGAAGGCTTGCTTGCCTGCTATGAGGACGCAAAGTTGGGGTCGTGTGATTCTTGTTGGGAGTATTGCGAGTACGGGTGGTGGAATAAATGGTTGTCACTATGCCGCCACGAAGGGCGCCTTGAGGTAAGAGTTCTGTTCTGTGAGGTCTGGGAAACGAGTGCTAACGATAACAAGCTCAATGGGCAAGAATCTTTCAACTGTCCTAGCTGGTGAAGGAGTCACTGTCAATACTGTGAGTCACAAAGAAGTTGTTTCAACCAGATGCTGACAGAAGGCTTAGATCCTTCCTGCAATGATTGGCTTCACAGACATGATCCCAACGCCCAAGGAAACGTGAGTGCTCTCTGCAGTCTGAAAGTTGCCCTAGATAGACTGACCCGAGACCTCAGAACATGGACAAGAAAAACCGATCTGGAGGAACTCAAAGAAACAGACCCAGGCCTGGCCATTGCAGCAAGCGTCCCTGTACGTCGTCTGGGCCATCCTCAAGAGGTTGCCAATATCGCTGTCATGTAGGTGCCGTAGCATCCCAGTTCTTGAATACTCAGCTGACAAGTGAAAGGATGGCAAAAACTGGATATCTCACTGGACAAGATATTATCTTATCAGGTGGTCTGAAGTAGACCAATGATTTCTCATGGCTTTCTGAGCAAGACTCTATTGGTTCAGGTGCTTTAAAGAGCAAAAAGAACATACAACACCGGGGATTCGCTGGTCGTCACCGACCCAACTACTAATCCGGCGCTTCGCAGCTTGACGATGGGGGAGCGGACGGGACCCCGTATTCTCTACGAGCTTTGGTCGTATGTGGTTGGAAGCCTGAGTAATTTCAGTTATAGAAGAGAAATCAGACAGGCCGGAGGAGTAAACAGCAATTACTCTTGGTGTTAGATGTTTCCTTTTCACAGTCAAGATATAAAAAGCGTGTGTTGATTCACCAACATATTTGCCTATGATACAAACTGAGTATACAGTCTGGCAGTTACTTGGGGATGTCTTTCACCGAACTGAGAAACTTTCACGATGTCTTGAAACATTGCACACCACGGAGATACTAAGCAAAAAGTCAATTGATTGGACCAGTCAATTCACAAAAGGTAAATCTGGAGCGACGCAGGCCTGATTCGAACAGACGCCTCCGAAGAGAATAGATTTCTAGTCTATCGCATTAGACCACTCTGCCACTGCGCCTTGATGCTTCCTGATTGGATGAAACCTTTGCCCGCAGTTTGCAATATACCCCTACCAAAACCCCACTGTCTTTCTATTATCCTCATCTTCATCGCTGTTGATGAGGTTTCAAGACTTATTTCAGCTGAAAACCCTCAAAGCCATTCTTAGTGCAGTTTTGCAGTGTCTTAGTATACGTTGGAACGCCGCCAAGGTAAATCAAGCACTCGCGTGGCTTGCCTGGGATATTATCTCCCATATACCACTGGAACAAGTTAGCCACCCTGAAACCACTCGAGAGAGTGAGTAACTTACCGATTTGGTGCTGGGTAGAAGAGAAGCACTAGCAATGCCCCGGACCTTTGCTCCCCACTCAGCCTCTGCGTCTTGACAGGCTTCAATCTTATGACGGCCATGGGTCGACATGTACTTCATAACCTTGATAATGAACTCGCCCTGAGACTCAGCGCATGTTGGGCCATTGCACAAGGCCGTCGGTGCTTGAGGCCCGTATGTGAAGAACATATTGGGGAAACCAGCAACAGCCATGCCAAGGTACGTTTTGGCGCCAGTCTCCCACTTATCAGCTAGTTTTACGCCTGAAACGCCGCTGATGTCGATATCTTTCAGACCACCAGTGATGGCATCGAAACCCGTTGCGCAAACTACAACATCAAACTCCCACTCCTTCTCAGTTGTTTCGATACCACGTTCTGTGACTTCAACAACTGGCGTGGCGTTGACGTCTACCAAGGATGCATTGGGTTGGTTGAAAATCTCGTAGAAACCATTCTCGAGAGAAATCCGCTTACAGCCGAAACTGTATGGTTGTTTTTCCGGAGCCAGAATCTCTTGGAGACGAGGATCCTTGACGCGAGATTGAACCTTGGATTTCCAGAACTTGTAAGCTTCTGCATTCGCGTCCTCTCGAAAGATCATGTCTTGGTAGTTTGCAAGCCAGAATTTGAAGTCGCCATGAGACCATAAGTCTTCATATACTGCACGACGTGTCTCGGGATCATCGCTAAAAGTGTCTCGGGGATAAAAGTTGAAGTCGAATCCACCAAAGCTAGCGTGTCGACCTTTGAAAACCTCGGTATAGCGATCTTCAGAAATTGGCTTCTCATCGCGAGAGTATTCGATCTGCTTCATGGGTAATGCCATGTTAGGCGTTCGCTGAAATAGCACAAACTCGCTTGCAACCTGGCTAAGCTCTTGTGCGAGCTGGACGCCTGTCGAGCCTGTTCCAATGACAGCAATCTTCTTGCCTTTGAGATCAGGTTCTTTTGCAGGCCAGTACGAAGGATGGATCCAGAGACCACCAAACTTGTCGATACCCTTCCAGTCAGGCGTATGTCGTTTGGCTGCGAATCCAGTATTCAAGAGTAAGTATCGCGCAACAAATTTCTTGCCGTCTTTACTTTCGATTTCCCATCTATCTGCCTCTTCGTTCCAAACAGCCTTGGAGATATACGTGTTGAAGAAAGTGTCCTTGCGAAGGTCCCATTTATCAGCAACGTATGAGAAGTACTCTCTGAGTTCAGCGCTGCCAGGGAATCGTTGGGTCCAGTTCCAGTCACGCCACAATTCGGGATCCGAGAATTCGTAGTGCGGAATGGCGCTGTCAACTCGAGCGCCTGGATATCGGTTCCAGAACCATACGCCCGCGTAGTCAGAGGCCATGTCGACGAGTTTGACATTGTAGCCTTCTTCACGAAGGCGCTTGAGTTGGTAGACACCACCGAACCCGCCGCCGACGATGAGTGCGTCGAGAACTGTTGTGTTGACGGTCATTTTTCTTTGCTTGTGGTGAGATAGACTGAGGATCGCCTGTTTGAGATAGAGATTTGGTCGACAGTGAGATCAGAAAGCTCAACTTGTGTCAATCTTGATCGAAACTGACACTGTTACTTGTTTATTAATGCTTTCGGTATTGAGTTCTACTAAAGGTATATATAACTGATCTTATTCCTCTGAATATCTCGTCCTTTTGCTGTCTTCGGAAGAACTACAGAATCTAAAGAATCTTGGAGCATCGGAACTTAGTCCGGAACACCAGGTCATGCAGCCTGAGCTTCGGCTGCCCGCCATATATATCTAGCACGCTAATATTCACTTCCATGTGTGTTTGAATCAAGTGATAAGCATACCCGACCAAGCAATGCCATTACGTTTCGGCTCGGATGTGATGTTTGCCATCGGTATTTGGGCAATACATCCGAAGAACCTACTTGAGGGTTTGTTCCGCGGAACAGTTGGCAATCTTCCGAAGGAACAGTATAATGCCGATAATCAGGTCTTTTAAACCGAAAAATCGTATTAGCCGAAGAATTAAATAAGAATAAACATTAATAAAGAAGGCTTCCTCCATAAGTGTTACACTCAGACAGTGCGCGCTCCGGAGTGTTCCAATCAAATCCAGTCTTCAACCAGAGACAATTCATTCATTTGATCAATAAAAACCAAAGGCATCCAATATGTCTTACGCTGACTCATGGCTCAAGGTAAGCTACTCTAAAGACCTATCTGTTATATCCACTCACCTGTACAGTTTGAAGAGTCTCTGGGCGGCACTCGCCCCGTTCTTAGGGGCTCTGCGGAAGAGATGAGGAGTCAGTACGACGGACTCAACTCGCTCCTTGCATCTCAATCTCCTCCTTCTCCAGAAAATAAGTTGAAGATCAGTGATGGGGAAGTAGCTGGGGTTGTATATCGGACCTACACACCTTTTGGCTCTGAAACCAAGAAATTGCCCATCGGTGTCTTCTATCACGCTGGCGGTTTTGTTGTAGGAGATCTTGATGCGGAGGATAGCTTTTGTCGAAACATAGCACTCAAAGCCAATGTGGTTATTCTGAGTGTTGGATACAGATTATCTCCTGAACACAAGGCTCCGACACATTTAGAGGACGCAGTAACTCTTTACGAGTGGGTAAGTGGGATATCGAGTTCCGCCTTATCCATGAGAGCATAAAGACAAAGACTTACTGACTACTTCTGTGCATTAGGCTTACAACAATGCCGAGATCATTGGCGGCGATTATTCCAATATGTTGACCATAGGCACCTCAGCTGGCGGTGGGCTTTCGCTTGCAGTTGCTCGAAAGGTGATCCTCGGTCAAACCACCGTTCCTCCTGACACTATTAAGGGAGTTGTTGCACTATGCCCAGTGGCTTTCCACCCACGAAACATCCCGACAAAGTTTCAGGCGCAACACTCGTCCTATAAGGAAAACAAAGACAACGTACCCATAGTGGATGAGGAATCTTTGTTGCAGATGTTCGACAACACAGGCATCAAGCCTGACGACGAGAGCTACTTTCCACTGCTGGATGATAGCTGTTTGAAAGTGTTCCCTCGGACATACATCGTAACCTGTGGCATGGATCCACTGCGGGATGATGGAACGGTCCTTCATGAAAGTCTCTCCTCTGCAGGGGTGGCTACCAAGATTAACCACTATGGTAATATGCCTCACTGTTTCTGGATAGTTCCAACCCTACCCGAAACTGAGGTGTTCTTGAATGAGTTAATAAGCGGAGTTAACTGGACCATCAAAGCTGGTAATTAGTTCAAGACGAAGATATATATGATTTTTAAGTATTTTATAAGACTGCATCTCCTTGTAATATATCAGCTATATCTTGAATACATAAAACTCATCAGGTCTTACGGAGGGCCTGTAGATACTTATATCATAGTCCAAATGCCAGATCGTTCGCTCCTAATGTCCCTTCAACTTCAAAACTACATACATCCACAGTTGAGAACAAAGGGAAACTATTATCAAAAGACTCAAACTCAATAGTCGTAGGCGTGGGAAGTGAGAATGCCTCCAAGGCTTCGTGGGGTAACATGCCCATCAGTCCACCGTCCACGTCTCCGATGGATTCTGCAAATGACCAAGAATCAAGGATTTCCTCACTGTGACTGAAAATACTGAGAGGCGTTGGCTTTGCCTTTTCATGAGGATTCGGTGTCTGTGGCCTAGACCCCTCATGCACAGTACCAAACAGGTTCCGCACAAGAAGGCTCTGCCTCTCCATCTTCCGACGTGCCCTCTCATCCACGTATATGTTGCAAGCTGTCTGTAGATTATCGATGGTCTGCAATGCACCCTTGGCAACAGGATCATGGGTACTGAACCGAGTCATCAAGGATCGTACACCCATCATGCTTTTCTCAAGAGGGAAGATATGATCCAAGTCGTTAAAGTAGGCCGTTCCAAGTACCAAAGCTGCAACAAATAGAGAATTCACGACAAATGGGAGACGTTTTGGGATCTCCCGGTTGTCTCCCATTACTTTCAGGAGGTCAACTGTCCGTACAGCAGAGTCAACGCAGGAAAAGGCGAGGACTTGATCTGGCTCAGTTGCAGCAGTTGGAGGTTCGCACTGACTCATGTCCTGCGACGTCTTAGACATGTGCTTAGAAGTGCTTTTCGTCAAGGACGGTCGAGCAAGAAGCATGATTGTCCAGTAATACGCTTCCTTGAGGTGGCAGAGACCGATATTTGGTGTTTCCTTCCCATCGGCCTCGTCAATGAATTTCGATGGTTTAATGCTATCAGTAGCCAGACCCAAGGGAAACCTATTCGCCCATTGTCGATGGTGTTCACTGATTCGTTCCAAGTGGCTGTTTAAGACTTTTTGCGGAGAGTAGATATTGGTAAGGATGTCTTCGAAAATAGCGCAGAGATCATTGGAGGCCGAGTAATTTCCGTCGATGCCTGTGTTTCGAGTTTCGTGTGTTGATGGCGGACGACCAAGTGATGCGCTCATGAAGAGATCCAGAACGCGGAGGACTTTCCACAGCCTCTCCCGTAGAAGGTATTCGGATTGCTTGAAATGTTTGTTTATATCGTGTCGCTGAATGCCGAGAGCGTATGCGGCGCGGACAGCGCTGCCGAGGTACATGAATGCAGCGTTCCGGCGTGATGCACCTAAGAGGTACATGGTGATGAGAATATTAGACTGGACGGCGGATATGCTGATGTCGTCCATGATGATGGATGAGGTCAGGAAGCGTCCATAGTTGAAATATTGCTCTGCTTCCCGGTCTCTGTTCTCGGGACAAGTCTGGGCCCCAATGGCAAGTACGAGAAAGAAAACAGCTGCTGAATCTTTTTCCTCTGGTTCATTTGAGCCGACTTGGTACCAAGATGTCAAAGACTTGCTTATTTCTCCTTCGTCGAAGAGGTTGAGCACACAGCTCGTTGAGCGAAAGAACCAGGAGAGTAGATAGCGAGCCTCTTCCTCCTCGGGCATAACCGGTGTATCATCCATGATGTCGACGAACCATGTGGAGCTGTCCGACGGCTTGGCCTCAACCATGAGATGTTGCAGAGCATCCTCTGTGAAGGCACAGGGACCGACTGAGTCACGAACTAGACGTCGGACGATTTGCAGAAAGGACAAGTTTGCTGCGTCACCAATGAAGACGAACTTCCCGTGGCCATCTTGTACGAGCGTAGAAAGCTGCGGACGATCTGTGTGGCCTCTGTGTAAATCATGTCCTAGCTGGCTGCTGACTTGAGACAGAGTCTGGTCAAAGACTTCTATGGAGGAGACGCTTGGTGATACGGAGTCCTGTGAATGGTCTCGGCTAGATGCAGGGTTGACGCAATTATGGCGGACGTTCCGTACTCTTCGCTTGGATGTCGGATAAGGGGTAAAACTGCATTCGGCATCTACCCCACGAGTGATGCAACGGCCACACGGCTGACGACCGTCACAGCGCTCTTTGCGACGCTTGCAAGTGTAGCAGGCGTTGGCGCATCGACGCCTTTCACTGTCTTTGAGTTTACGAGAAGGCATTATATTTTCGTTGTTAGATGCAGAAGTAGAGACTGGAAAGGACAGTACAGTCAAGGCTGTTGGGGACAAACAACATTTAAGTTAGTACACAATGGGACATGTGGGAGACACAGATTGCGGGGTTGGATGTCCCTACTAGGTACGCTAAAAGACGCGAACCTATTAAGATAGATTGATATCTAGTTACGGATAGTTTAGGCTTGACTAGACGCGGCCACGTCTGGAGAACCCGGTAGCGGGTTGAGTTCTGCTACAATCTATATGTATGGCATCGTGTGATGAGCATATCCATTATGACCTCTGTCAAGTGCAGAACCTCTATTTGTGATTCTAATGTTGTCCAAGCTATATATCCTGCAACTTTCTCAATAATGACATGCAGTGTGGGAGAGGATAGCAGTCCATACGACAAATGGAACTACCAGTAGAACTGCTGCTTGTGGCTTACTTCCAAGGGACCTCCGAGGAGTTGGTCTAGGTCTCCGAGTTACAACGTTTAGCTTTTCCCCAAAGCCTTTTAAGCGCATTTTAAACTCCACAGACCATCAAAATAGTGAGGTACATGATTTAATAAGTTGGTAGTGAATGGTTCAGTTCGCAGGAAGATCATTTACGGAGATGATGTGGGGGAGTAAAGACAAGCTTCAATTCTCTCGGCTCAACCGAGGTGCGGTGTGTGGGGTACAGTAGTCTACCCCACATTCATCGGAACCCATTCTATTGCTGCCCCAGATCCGATCCGATGCAGAACAGAACAGTACAGCCGATGGCGAGCATTCTATAGACCATTCCATGTTTGTCTCAGAACATGGCTATGTTTGATGAGAGACTGAGCTGTAATAGTGTGCTAATATTTCTATCAACTCTTGCACATAGTCCTACATACTTATAAGTTATTGCTGCTTACATATGCTCCCCAACATTCCTGAAGCCTGCCCTTCTCCATCAGTACCTGCCAACTTCTTCTTCAGCCAGGGAATCTCCTCCAAAGAATACCTATACGCTCTAAAGAGCGCATTCGACTCCCCAGGGAATATCTTGGCAGTAGCTTGATCAGGATACGGCGCAAAATGCGGGTTGATAAATTCCCAGCAAACATATCCATCCTGGGTGACTTCAAATAACCGCCCAAAAGCACTTTCACAGAGTAATGTGTTTCCGTTCGCCAACCTTTGCGCACTACCCATAAAGGGTGTGAAGAAGTTGTGCATCTGTGAGCGATCACGATATTCCCAGACGATCTTCTTGGTCTGTCTGTCAACTTGGATGGCGCGGGTGTAGGTGATAGATTCGCCGTTGCGGAAAGCGCCATTGTCAAAGATGAGAATGTTGCCGTTGTCAAGTTCAGTGGCGTTATGTTGTTGAGCAAGAATTTCTGGACCGAGTTTCCAGACAATGTCGCCGGTAGATCTCTCGATGATTATGACGGCTGATACTGATCTGAGAGATGCGAGAATATGTTTGCCGTCGCGCATGGGGATTACTGAGTTGATGAGTGGATAATGCTCTCGCGTGTAGTGAGGTTGGAGCGGGTATTCGTCTCGTGGAAGTCGCTCTGAGACTTTCCATTGCCAGACAAGATTGCCGTTCTCGTCAACTTCATTGATGGTGTCGGCATAAGTGATACCGTCGATCTCGCTGCCCGGGACACCGCCGATAACTTTGGCCGAGTCCTCAGGAGACAGAGCCTCAAGACCCGTATACAAAAAGCGACCATCGCCATAATGATACTGATCATGATGACCCAAGTCATCCGTGAACTGACGAACCACTTTTCCATCTGGGTCAAGCTCACTCATGACACCTCCACCATATTTGTTGAAGAAAGGAAATGGAAATGGTCCTCCGTCTTTGGTGGTAAGCTCAGTTGTTCGAAGGGTATTGACAGCAAGGTTTCCATTGGGCAGAATTCTAGCATGACGACCGATTCTTCCCGGGAGTTTCCATGAGTGAACTTCTTTGCCGTCAATGTCGACAAGGTGAGCTATGTCGCTGGTCAGGGGGCAGAAAAGGGTGTAGCCGCCGAAGGACTTATCCTTGTCGACACCTGTGAGGCCAACGCCACGTCTTTTTAGTGTGTTTTGTTCCATAGCTAAAGCTTGAAGCTTTTGGCTTCGTGTTGATGGTAGTTGTTGGTGCTTGGGTCTTGGTTGGTGATAGTTTCAATACACTGTTAAGAGAGGTTGGCTTGTTTGATGGCTTATCCAGTTCGAAAACAATACTTAACACTCCGGACTTTCATCTGTACTTGTATACAGCTCTCCTATTGTGAAATGATATCTTTAAAATAAATATTGGCGTGATATTGCGAAAACGTCAACCCTACGGCATCCCGCAGGCTTACCGTCGGGATGCCGCCGGGATGCCGCCGGCTGATAACGATCCGACGGTCTCTTCTTATCACCGCCGGCGCCATCTCATCTTATCAAGTCTTCCAATAGGTTAACTCAATTCAGCACGCCATTATCGTCGCCATGGTATCTTCAACACCATACAGATCTGGGCATATCGCTTATCAGGACATCATTATTGCTTTGGCAGGGAAGTAGTATATAGACTATAACAACGTTCGATATCATCATGTTAGAAACCACAATTGCCTCGAGTTCCAAGATTATTGTATTGGGTTTAACTCCTCGTTACAATGAGTTCCTTTTCTGAAAAGAGTCAGCCGGTTCATTCCAAGACTTCGGAGCATGATGGCGATGTTATTCAAGATGAAGCCATTCATGTTCCAGGTTACGATCCTACCCTTACCATTGAATCTGGAGAAACCAGAAGAGCATTACTCAAAGTTGACTTCTTCATTCTGCCCTTCATTGTCCTTTGTTTCTGCTTTCTTCAATTCGATCGTACCAACATCGGCAATGCCCTGACAGATACACTTCGAACTGACATCAACGTCGATAACTCGGACATTAACCTTGCGCAAACTCTCTTCACAGTCGGTTTCATCGTTACAGAACTGCCCTTCAACATGATCAGCAAGTACATGGGACCAGAGAGATTCCTTCCCATCACCATGTTCCTCTGGGGCATTGCTACCTGGTCTCAAATCTTTTTGAAGAATGCACACGGTTTGTGTGCAGCTCGATTCTTCATTGGTGCACTTGAGGGTGGTTACATCCCAGGTTTTGCTCTTTACATCTCGCGATATTATACCAATCAAGAGCTTGCTTTGAGGTATGCCATCTTCTGGGCATCAAACAGCTTTGCTGGTGCTCTTGGTGGGCCTTTGTCTATTGGTCTTCTTTCACTTCGTGGAAGAGGTGGACTTCATGGATGGCAATGGCTGTTCCTAATTGGTAAGTAATACACTTCTTATCCATGACTCAAAACTAATAGACAGCAGAGGGTGTCTTGACCTGCTTCCTCGGAGTCCTCGCATACCTATACTTCCCCCACAACGCCGCGAAACCAAAGACCTTCTTTGGCAGATCTTTTAACATCTTCACCGAGCGCGAAGCATCCATTATTGTCACCCGTGTCATCCGCAACGATCCTACCAAAGCCCTCCGATACGGCCAACCAGTTCTGCTGTCACATATTGTCGATACCTTCACTGATTGGAGGCTGTACGGACATCTCGTTGCTGGCCTTCTCTCCATGGTCATGATCTCCCCGATGAACACATACGCACCCTCCATCATCAAGTCTTTGGGCTTCACATCCCTTCAAGCCAATGGCCTCAACTCCGTTGGTAGTGTCTGTGCCTTGGTCTGGTCTGTGACTTTGGCGTTCAGCAGTGATCACTTCCGCGAGCGTGGATTCCACATCGCCCTTGGCTATCTCTGGGGGGCTGCTGGTCTGCTTTGGCTAGCCCTTGCACCCGATAGCGTTTCCAAGTGGACTTTGTATGGCGGCGTTGTCTGGACACAAATGGGAATGGGCTGTGTTCAAGCTATCAGCGCTGCATGGCTTACGACTAAGATGCAGGATTACAAGAGGCCTGTTGCCCTGGCTGCTTATGTGATGAGTATCCAGCTTGCCAACTTTCCTGGTAACCAACTTTTCAGAACTGAAGGTATGCACAAAGCCCTCTCTGTACCAAGTCTCAAACTAATTGCAACTAGATGCCCCTCGATATACGCGCGGTCTGAGTATTGCTTCTGGTTGTGCTATTGCTGCTGCAGTTGTTATTCTGATCTGGAAGTTGCTGTACCGACTCTTCGACAATGGCGATGCTGGTGTTGAGGCAAAGTTTCAAGTTGCTTCAGAGGAGACTAGGAGTGAGATTTAAAAACATCATTTCTTGTGTTATAGTATAATTAATCTAGGTTATACTTTTGCAGACCGTTCATTATGCCTTGTCGTACCTGTCGTGGCCTCTTGGTGTCACAAGACTTAAGATATTACATTAAGGTAATAAAATAAACTAATCAAACAGTGTACTAAGTTTATTATAAACTACCCTAAAGTATCCTAATTTTATTTAACCCCTTTTATTACTCAGGAATTTAGTCCTAGGTTTTCTGCTACCCTCTAGCGTGGCTATGTATTTGAGTTATGACCGTGAGTTAATAGGAGCTGCTTGATACATCTTCAGCAAGATCCAACAGTGAGATGCCCAACAGAGTCAATTAACCTTGCGAATATTCACATTCAGCCTCCGACTACACCCGGATTTTTATGCCTAGCTCTGCTCCTCATCAACCTCCATAGAAAACTCCAAGTTGTGAATGCCCACCGTCTTCCGCCATTCCTGCTCAGTCTCCTCAAAGATCTTGGGGCCTCCTCCTCCTGAGAGTCTCAAAATCGGCTCCTCAGGGTCGTCAGGATACCCGGTGCAGAAAACAAGATTCGTGTACCACGAGTCTTTGAGCTCTATAGAGAGATATTCCGCCTTTGGCATGCGAGATACACATCGCGCCGCCGCCACAAAATATTCGTTCACCACATCGTCAACGGGATACATACGACGCCAATCGGTGGCGTTATCTGCTGATCGCCAGGGTTTATGGACAAGGAGCCGCCTCCCTGAGGGTGAGATATCATGTGGAGTGAGGACGAAAGCTTTGAGGCTTGGCCAGTAAGGGTCTTCAGCTGTATCTGACTCTGATGGCCAGAAGATAGTAGGTTCGATGCTCCCCTCAAAGGAGAAATCTTTCAGTCCCTCTCTTTGTGAGAATCGGTATAGCTCTCGACTCAAAATATCTTCTTCTGCGCCGACAGGAGCCAGGGCATCTTTCGGCAAGGATGGTCTCACAGAGTAATCGAGGTCGAACTGATGAATTGATGAAGGCAAACCATGCAACGACCGTCCAAGGTCTAACGAGTATTTTATGTGAGAAAAGTCCAACATCTTAGGTATAGTTTAGCTAGACTTACCATTTCTCTCGTTTACTGAATCATTCGATCTTCTTCCAGACGTCAGACTCAGAGCAAGTGATCTCAGACGCGACATCGTACCCGCTATTAAGCAGATAGAGCGTGGAGAATAGAAAAAGCGGTCAAAACCATCGCTGAAGAACAAATGTCGTATCATGGGCACTTCTGGGAGACATGTGTTGATGCTCTCGAAATTGTCCTGGACGTGGTCTTCCAGTTTACTCAGATATTTGGGTCCTCTGAGAAATGCGGAAGGAATAGTAACGAGGAGTTCGACGAGCGGCTCCTCTTGCAAAGGTATTTGAGCGAGTAACTGTAGAAGAGGCAGAAAACCCGAGTCAGTTTCGGGGCTTACTGTTGGAGGAGATGCTTCATCTGGTGATGGAAACGAGTAATCGAGCCGACGAATATACGAAAGACGCCTGGGGGTGAGAATGCCGTTCTCAATTGCATAAGAGACCGACTCTGAGGTCAACTTGAGCTCACGAAATGATGCTTCTTCAATGAGAGGTTGCCAATGGCGACATAGTGCTGCTAGATGTGCGAGACAGCGTATTGGAGGTCTGGTTTCGTCGTAGAATTTAGCTGGCGAGAAATACTCATATGGTACAAGGTGTGAAATGATATTAGATATGATCTCTGGGGCTAGTCGGTCCATTTTAGTGGTGAGTTTGTGATGCGTGGGAAGAGGAGAATGGTAATCATGATGGATTCAAAGAGCAGAAATTGATCGCGGAACGGAGCGGAAAATATCCGTGAGTCACTTGTTGGCTGCTGCCTGTTGGTCGACAGGAGTACGTCCAGGTTAGTGTCGACAGGCTACAATTTCTTTTGATGAATAAATAGAAGGTATTGAAGAGTGTTGATAGAATTAGATAAATATTGTTACACAGAAGCGTCTGTATCTGAATGTACCTGAGCCCATTCCGGCCACGATTCCAACCCACCATCTGCATCAAACATTTCGGAGCCGATAAAGTTAGGATATAAGAATGAAAGATCAGGTGGTAATGACAACTCTTCTGCGCTATAGATAACACCGGGGTTATCAGGTAGAGTACCGGAAACAATGGGTGTTGTTGGCTGGAAGTCAGGTCGAAGTTTTTGAAACTGTGCATAGACGATATCACCGAGGATATGCGCAGCGTGACAAGGTAGCCCAATCGTCTTGAACCAGTTGATAAGCTTGAAGACAAGATTATCCAACTCGGCAGTATCATAATTTGCTGCCCGGAGCTTTGCCTCGTAGGTATGAACGATGCGACATAATGTCAGTGCGGAGAAGCTGAGGATGTGATAGATATGGTCCGTCAAGTGACGAGTACGATCGTCTGTTGTGTCGATGGCGAGATTGATGATGATTCTTGAATGCTTGATCATTTCTTTGAGAACAGAACTGTGCATAACTGATTTGGGTGACTTGAGGGACTGACAATGAGCCAGCAGGTGAGCGAAGTGGAAGCCCATTTGCAGAAATTGCGATCTGGGCTCATCTGAATATGATTCGTTAGCGTTGATATTGATATTTGAGGAGAAACTGACTGAAAAGGAGCATCCAATCCTGTTGCCATGCTTGAAGAGCGAGTTTGGTTCCAGCAAGGTCAATCTGGGCAACTCCACACTTGTTGTAGATAATCCAGTACAGTTGAACTTCTGCTCCCATCCTCGCTTCGTAGTTATTTACCTCATTAGACTTGACGAAATTGACACATTGGTCAACTTGTGCTTGAGTCAGTAGCGAATGCCTGCGAGTCCCGACGCAGTACCTGTGCCATAGTCAACAGATGTCTCTTGAGAAGATCCTTCAACGACCTACTGAAGATGAGCGACACAAAGGTGATTCCACAAGCACCAAGCGTCCATATGCGAGTCATCAACATGCTGAGGCGAGCCTGGGCGGATAACTTGCATAAAGTGAGGGCTCGCGAGTGCTTGCTGAATTGCATAGCCCGTAAGTAACCAACTGTCAATACTCAAGGGAACTTGGCCTATAGTCGTCGACCAGAGGCTTAGTATAAGTACAGCCTGAAAGAACTCTAAAGTCTGCGGAACCTCCAGTAACGATGTTGTGATGAGGCGCTTCGATTCCTCGAAAAGCCTGGGGGCGAGCTGATCTGCCAAATCCTGGGTCATGTGCCGGACTGATATTAAGAAGATGCTGCATAATAGCAATGGAGATTTTCGGACTTGTAAGAGGAGTCTGTCTGTTGGGATGTCTTCTGGAAATCTGACCCATCTGCCATAGTGAAGATGGAATCTGAAACTTGTCAGTTATTCAGTAGCCAGCCGAAAAGAGTGATAGCTTACAGTCCTAAGAGTGAATGGGCTGTTGATAATGAGACAAGACCTGTTGATATAGCGTCTGATTGAGGTCCTGTTTGCGCAATCGCTTGCTCAGGCGAGTGAACTCCTGCATCGGTTGCTGCATCTCGTATTAAAAACACCGGAGCCGGGTCAAGCTCTGCAGAAGGCACTGGTACCTCCACGAGTGAAGTTTTATCTTGATTAGACGAGCCAGCAATTTCGTCAAGTTTCGAATCAAGCTTATCGACTAAAGCGCTGACTGTTCGCTCGAGTCTTTCTAATCTACACGGACCGTCAATGATAACTCGTCATATCTGCGATAATACAAACCTATCATCGACTGAGCTTCTTCGACCTTGAACGACTGGATTTACAAGTCGATTGTCTCTTTCTTGATGTATGGGTGGTTGCACCGAGTGTCGAAGGTCATTATGAAAGTCTAAGGAGCATCGTTGAGATAAGGTCTTGCAGCGCAAACAAGTTCCATTGGAGCTGCCAGAAGGGTAACAGCGAGTTTTGTATTTGCGACACAGATCACATGCTTTTGAAGCTCTACCAGATCGTATAGGAGGCATATTAATGACCAAAGATCTGCATGCAGGAAACACATTTTGGACATAGATAAGGAGTTCAATGGCCTATCGTGCCTTATCAGTAGATATGGCGTGCTAGAACGATCACGTGGAAGCTACTCAGATGTAAGTGACATCTCGACCACGACCTTGCGAGTTCTGAAAATGTTCTACCAGAAGATTTACTTTTAGTATTCGTGGGTTCTGGATGCGTGCAGATTTGCCAGTCCGTGGAGAGCTCGAGCACGGCTAACAGGTTGGGGATTGATTGAGTCGTGGAAACTCATACAGGCTCAAGTGAGAAGAAAGATTACGTTAAGAGCTTGATATTCTTGAGGCTGAGGTGAAGTAAAAAGAGAAGCCAATGGGGCTATCATAAGATTAGTATAGGATACCATGTTTCCCCCCGATATTGTCTGGAATACGCCAAGTACAGAATCTGTTTGGCTCTCGTGTTATGCAGCAAGGTCTAGGGTGGCCAGGGCGGACAAAGTGAGAGGCAAGGTGGGAAAACAGCCGAAGATCAGCCACGGCCAAGCACCCCACTACGGGACCTTTAAATTTTGCGCGGATCGCGTTCCTTCTCTTCTTCTTTTTCTTTTCTCCTTATGACCCTCTTCATTCAAATAACCGTAAGTCCTCACCAACGCACAAACAGCTGCATTTTGACACGTCGCTAACATTTATTTTGCAGATGATGAGAACCGCGTGTTTAATATGATGCAGTGCCTCCTCTCCGGACCTCGAAACCCTCTGCCTCTCGGGGCAGCTTAAGCGGTTTCGTGGCGAGGTGAGGTTGGTACCATGAAATGGGCGTTCGACACAGACCTTGTTACAAGCATCGGACGCGATGGAAAAAAGCTCTGACTTATTATGAATGAAAGAGAGGATTCTTGTGGTTCGCGCTGCTGGGGAAACTTGGCGTGCAGAAATTGAACCGTTTGATAGGTAGGTTTCTTGCGATTGAGGGAACTGGAGAGCGAGCCTCAAGTGAGGTTTCGCATATATATATTCTACGAGTTGAATTGAATTGTATTTTGTATTTTAATCGCAATAACAAACCTTGTGCTTCGCGACCTGCTGTTTTTGACAAGTGAATGTGCCGTCCCTTGTCTAGAGCTGTATCAGGTGAAATGAGTTTTGGTGAGACGTGAAGAAGCGAAAAGATTATCGCACAAGCACCCAAACACGCATGCAAACAGCCACGAGCAAACTGTGTTTGTGCTACCCAACGATGCCTCAATTTGCATTCCCCTCAGACAAGACGTCCCCGGATTTCTTCGACTTCATGGAATATCACCATCTCTGCAGTGGAGCTATCTTGGCGCAATCAAGTCCCTTGAAATGAAAAGACGAAAGAATCCATGGTGACGACATCAGTAGCGTCCCCTGGAATTACAGTGGAAGAGTAGCGCCCGCCCATATCGGAGTCAACCACCTTTCCGGAGGACACGAGTTTGGAGGGTACATCGTGAGACGACCCAATGTCGCTGGGCGACGCAGGTACTTCCCTATCATCCACCTCTCAGAATCTCCACCTTCTTGTCCTACAACCACCAAAGCCCAACCTCAAGTCAACGCCAACCCGAACAACACACACCCCTCCCCTTGTCCTGCCACGCCCCAGAATCGTCCACGTCCCCCGGCGCGGATGCGGACACTGTCTCGTTGTCTCTCTCGGTCAATCTTTCTTTCTTCGTTCAAGACTCTTCAAGATCTTTTTTGCGCTGGTGAGTTTGAAGCGACACGACACGCTCGACCCGTCTTCTACTGCTGCTGCTCTTATCGTCATCCTCGTTTCGATTCCCCCGGATCCCCGGCCATCATCTGTCACCGTACCCCGTCGCTCGTTGCAACGTCCGTCGTCTGAACTTTTTGTCCCTCCATCGCCCGAAGATCATAAGCTCGATATAGCTCCCGAGCTTCTATTGGAATCATGTCAAGCTCCTTCGAAAAGTCCGTTAAGGGCGCAACGAAGATCAAGGTACGTGTGCAGTCTTGGCGGCGCGCTCTTGATGAGCCTAATATCAGCGGCAATCATGAGCCCAACTGTTCTTCTCAATGGGCGCTGTATTCAACGTTCGACTCGGTGCTGATTGGATTGCTATAGAATGCTCCCCCAAAGACAAAATACATCGAACATATCCTCGTAGCTACCCATTCCGGCGAAGCTGGCGTCGGCGAGGTCTTTCGCGCTCTCACATACCGTCTCCGCGATTCAACATGGACCGTCGTCTTCAAAAGTCTAATTACTGTTCACCTGATGATCCGAGAGGGATCTCCTGATGTCACGCTCGCCTTCCTTGCGACACATCGCAATGTGCTAGCCATTAGCAGCTTTACAGACGGTACATTCCACACAAGCCGAAAGAAGTCTGGGCATGGGGACTGACAAATTGGCAGCACAAATCCAAGGACGAAACATCCGACATTATGCCCACTACTTAGCTGAGCGAGCTCGCGCATACGAGAAAACGAAGACGGATTGGGTGCGCGCTTCTGAGTCAAGACTCGAGAAGCTTTCAGTTGAGAAGGGATTGTTACGAGAGACGGAGATTGTTCAACATCAGCTTGAGGCTTTGTTGAAATGCGACGTAAGTTAGGACCACTAGGAGTCAGAATCTCGAGCACTAACAACCTCAGGTGATGGAGAACGAGCCAGAGAATGAGATCACTATAACTGTTTTCCGACTGCTTGTCTTGGATCTGTTGGCACTTTTCCAAGTTCTGAACCAAGGACTCATTAGCATTCTCGGTATGTTTGCCCCTCCCCCTCTGTCTCAGCCCGCCACTTTGACTTACGTTCTAATCCCCTTAGGTAACTTTTTCGAAATGTCAAAGGTGGATGCCGAGCGTGCTATGGCCATTTATCGGAAATTCACGAAGCAAACAGATTACGTCGTCCAATATCTGAGCGTAGCTCGTCAGCACGAACACCACACTCGAGTCGAGGTACCCAAGCTCAAGCACGCTCCTGTTAATCTTGGACGCCAGTTGGAGGAATATCTTCATGATCCCGATTTTGAGGTCCATCGAAGACAATATCTGGCTGAGCAGGATGTGAAGAAGATTGGTGGAGGCTCAAGCTCGAAGCAAGGAGGTCTCAGCAAGAAGAAGAGCACCGATTTCCCCGAACCAGCGTCCAACAACCCCTTTCCCAAGATCACGGCGTCTTCGAGCGGTAACAGAGCACCCAAATCGAAACCACAAGCCAACAAGGGTCCTGATCCCGATCTGATCGACTTCTTTGACTCTATCGAACAGAACCAGACTCCGATGAGCATGAACCCTCAGCCTCAACAACAAGCTTTCCAGCAGCAGCCAACTGGCTTGCCGTTTCAACAGAACGGGTTTGCCGCTCAGCCTACTGGTTTCGCCTCCAACAGTCCATTCCAACAGCCTCAGCAAACTGGGTTCATGCAACCGCAACCTCAGATCCAACTACAGCCAGACTTCACCGGGGCTGGTTTCGGAGGATTCACGCCCCAACAACAAGGCTTTCAGCCAAGCCCACTCGCACCAATCCCTCAGGATTCAATGGCCAGCTTTCCCAACGCTGTCCCTCAAGTCCAACAGCCTGTTCAGAACGGATCGCCTCAGGGTCTTCAACCGATGCAAACAGGAAGCACCAACCCCTTCCGTCAGTCTATGCTTATGGCCCAGCAAACAGGCCTTCCATCATCTGCTACAACACCCGCTCTAAACCGCCAATCTACAAACCCATTCGCTCGAACATCACCACAGCAAAACACTTCTCCTTTTGCCCAAGCTTCAAACTCGCCTTTCCAATCACCATCCCCTCAACAGCCACAGCAACAACCTGCTTTACAGCCTACACCAACCGGCACGAACCCCTTCGCGCGCAACTCCATGTTGCCAGCGCCAACCCAAGAACAACGTCCGCAAACAGCTGGCGCCGCTCTCGCCCCTCAACCAACCGGTACAACCAATCCCTTCCGAAACGGCGCCTTTGTCAACCACAACACAGGGATGGGGTGGCAAGCTAACCAGCAGCCTATCGGAGGAGGCCTCGATCAACTCCCAACAGTACCTGTATTCCCTCGTCCAGCTCAACAGACTCCTTGGCAACAATAAGAGTATCGGAACTGCTGTTCCAAGAAACTCATCATATCTTACAAGCTTAAATCAACACATAACTCGCATCGCGTTCTTCCCAGCGCCCTTTTGTTTCCATTTCTTGGCTGTAACAGCCTCTCTTTCCATATAGTAAGCGAGGCGTTTTCGGGGGATGAGATCGAAAAGAGGATTGCAAGGCTACAGGATGAGCACCCAGGGGGATTCAGTATCCTTCTGAAATTGCCCTTCAATCCTCTCCTGGTGATTTTCCTTTTGGATCAATATAGTAGTAGTCATACAAAAATACAATTATCATCAACTAAGTCTCTGTATTCACTGTGTCTGGTGTATATTCTCTGTAGCCATGGTATCGTGTCATTTTTACCATCTTAAAAACTCCAGGTCCGTCATGTTCCTTGCATGTTTTCCCAAACTCCGAAACTCCATAGCTATGCCCAGTTAAACGACGAAATCATCTACTAGAATGGATCATCGACGTCCATTCTACCCCCCGTATCTCCCGTCACAGCAGCTTCTTTCGCCCCCGCCGTAGCAACACTCTTCTCAACCTTCTCCTCATCCACAAACACTCCCAGTCCCGAGAAAGCTTCGAACAAAGCTCGCGTGAGATACTCATCAGGACTATACCCTCCAGCCTTGAACTCGGGCTTCGTCCTTGTGATCTCGACCCATTCGTTAGAATACGTCGCTAGTTTCTCCGGCGAAAGGTCCACGCGCTCTGGCATGACGCGCACGCCGCCGTACGGATCGTAGGGCTTGTTTTCAACAACGGCTGCCTTCTTCTCGCGCAGTCCTCTGATAGAGAGACCGCTGCTTCCTGCTGCGCCGAGTGCTGCGTCGCGTTTGGTGTGTCCTCGTTTCTTGAGCATGATCTTATCCATTGCTTCTGTTGCGCGGCCCATTTCTGCGCTTTGTAGGGAGTCGAGCATTTCTTCGCGGAAGCGCTTGGCGTTGGCTTTTTCTTCGAGTTCTTCTTGTCGTTCCAGCAATCGTCGCTGTCGAGCTTCTTCCTCCTCTGCTGCGATGCGGCGCTGGCGGGCATCGTCTGTTTCACGTGCAAGGCGTCTGTTTCGCTCAATGTCCTGCTTATGTTTCGCCTCCCACTCGCCAAGCTGCGCCTCAGCTTTCCTCCTCTGCTCATCCGTTCCATAAACGAGATCACACGTCAAACACTCCACCATCTCCAGGTACTCATTATATGCATCCAATGTCTCAAAGTCCTCTTCAACCTTGTTAAAGACCGCCGCAACACGTCTCCGAATGTCGACCTCGCGCTCCACAGCAAGATCCGCGAAGAAAGCAGTCTTGAAACCGCGAAGACGAAGGGTCTTGTGGCAGCCGGCGTAGGGACATTGGTTGGGCCCGTCTTTGAAGATTCGCTCGACACATGTCTTGCACATGCGGTGGTAGCACTCTGGATTGATACGGAATTCCATGTCACGGTTGAAGTAGCGTGTTGTCTTGCATACGGGACATGTCTCGTCTTGGTCTGGCGGTGGAGGCGCGTTGAGATCTGTGGCGTGGCGTATTGAGACGCCTGCGCGAGACATTTTGTCTGTCAATAGCACTGACTGTGAGTTTGAGTGGAGGAGTGAGGTTGTCGAGAAAAGGAAAAAGAAAGGAATTGCTTTGTTATGGTCAAGAAGTGATTAATCAGTGCCTATCAAATGTTGGTTCTGCGCGGCTGAACAGACAGGGATAAGCGGCTTGCCGGGGAGTTTCCTATTGGCCAAAGCTCAGCAAAAGATGGCCCCACCTTTTAGCTGCCCCTCCATGAATTGTCAGCCTTCTCTCATAACCAACAGCTTCCATCGATTTCTCCCCTCGGAACATATCACAACCACTTCAAAAACATCAACATGGCTGATAACGGTGAGTACTATTCTCAAAGCAGACTCTATGGGTGTATATAGACAGTTTCGTTGTCGATTATAAGCTTCTTAGGCACTGACTTCAACAGAACCTACACTCGCTGAGACCGCTGCTGCTACAGCAAAGGAGGCCGAGGAGCAGGCTGCTCTTCCCTACAAGTGGACTCAGACCATTTCAGAACTCGACATCACTTTCAATGTGCCCGGAAACCTCAAGTCGAGGGATCTCGTCATTACTATCAAGAAGCAGAGCCTACAGGCGGGTATCAAGGGCCAGGATCCAATCATCCAGGTACACACAACTCAAGCCATATCTCATACGCCAACTAACCCACAACAGGGCGATCTCCCCCACGCCGTCCACGTTGACGACTCTACATGGACACTCAGCACCAACTCAGACGGTACCAAGACAGTTGAGATCCACCTCGACAAGGTTAACAAGATGGAATGGTGGGCGCACGTTGTTACCTCCGCTCCCAAGATCGACGTGACCAAGATTCAGCCCGACAACTCCAAGCTTTCAGATCTCGATGGTGAGACCCGCGGTATGGTCGAGAAGATGATGTTCGACCAGCAGCAGAAGGAGAAGGGCCTGCCCAGCTCAGATGAGCAGCAGAAGGCGGATATCCTCAAGAAGTTCCAGGAGCAGCATCCTGAGATGGACTTTAGCAAGGCCAAGATCAACTAAAAGTACTTATGACGAATCCCAATTGAGAAGTTAAAGGACATTTCATTTCGTGGTACTTCATCTCGTTTCTAGAGCAATTGCTGCGCGCTCGAGAAAAGCGTTGAACATCTTGACTTGTTGGAGCATACCGCCTGCGGAGCTCGATGAGCTTGCTTCGTCTGTGATGCGTGCGACGAGAAGCTCGAGGTTGGCCAGATCGGCCTTTTTCTCTTGGGCGCGTGAGAGTTCAGGGGCGTCTCGTCCCCGTTCGACTGCCATGTCTATGTCATGCATTATAGCTGAGGTATCGAGCCGATACTGAAAAGCTTAGCTGGTGTTGCATCAAAGAAGAGTTATGGGCAACTCACTTTTGACTCTTTGGTGTCTTCTTCGTGTTTGATGCGTACAGCATCCATCTTGAGCGCGACCTGTTCCCTCTCTGCTTTGAGACGCAATATTTCTTCTCGCAAGGAGAGCTTCTCCCGCTGTACCAGACGAACGCGTCTCCGTAGTGATTGCCAATCCATGAGGTGAATTGACTAGTTTGTTAGCCTCAATCTCTCCACCGCAGACCGTAAACAACTCACCAATTGTAATAACCGAGACGTGAGCTCCTCCTTGTATGCCTCAAGTGCCCGTATCTTGATCCGACATTCTTTCTTCTTGTCCTTCTCCTCGGTATTCTGCAGCGTCTCGAAGAGCCTCGCTACCGTACTATCGATGACTTCCAAGCATGCTTGTGCAAAGACATCCACTGCTGTCACCCCAGTGGTTGTAAAAGGCAAATCCGCCGCAAGTTGATCTTCTTCATCGTCGCCTTTGATGAACTTCTTGACGTTGACAAAGCGCTGCACTGTGACCTCGATAGCTGATCCATCGCTGACTCGGCGCTCTTTGGCGGCTTGTTTCGTTTTGCGGACCTGCTTGGGAAGTGGTTTTTCTTGTGTCCGTGACTTTGTTTTGGAGGCAACTTTTGGTCTGGTAGCAGGTTGTTTCTGTGTCGCGGGGCTTCTCGATGGTCGTCCGCGGCGTCGTTTCGCTGCTGGTTCTTCTTGCTCTTCTTCCTCTGCTTGTTCCTTGGGCTGTGCGACAGGTGATTGAGATGGAAGACTTCTTCGAGGTCGTTTTCTCCCAATAGCTTTGGCCGCTTCGACTGCATCGATAGCTTCCGCTACTGCCTCTTCTTCCTCTTGTGCCTCCTCCTCTGCCGCGGGCTCCTCTTCAGTCTGCTCCTCTTCAGGTTCTGCTTCTTCTGTGCGCTCGTCATCCGATCGTTCATCGTCCGCAGGGGCGTAATCCGGTCGATTTGGCGAAAGTTCATCCTCATCGTCATCTCGCTCAGCAAGTCTCGAGGGTCTTCTCTGAGATAATCTCGACCGAATTATCGCGGGACCCTCACTCCGTCGAACCTTGCGTACCAGCGGGGATGAAGAAGGCGGCGCATCTTCCTCTTGTAGTAGCGTTGTGTGTAATCGTGTCGTTGACGATAGGGCCTCGCTCATGCGCACATCCTGTCGCTTATTGGCAACATCTTGCGCAATCTTTTCCAGTGATCTGCGACTCGGCCGTCGTTCCGTTGGTTGTCCGGAAGCATCATCGGTCGGTAGAGTCGGTAACTCAACTTCAGCTTCGTTCTCGTCTGGCGCTTCGACTTCTGGACTCGGTAATTCTGATTCTGGCTGTGGTTCCGCTTCGACCTCGTCCTCCGCTTCAGGTTCTGGCTCCTCTACAACATCAAGACTCGGCTCTTCCTCCTCTCTCGATTCACCTGTCGTATCCTGCGCGCCAGATTCCTTAGATTCTTCTGGCAAATCGTAAGGGTCTCTCGATCGAGGCAATCGTCTTCGTGCGCTTCCTTGCGCTTGTCCAGACGGCGGCTGTTCGTTTTCCAATCTTCTTCTCTTAGCAGAAGTATTTGGTGTTCGGCGCGCTGAAGATATGGGAGGTGCGGGTGCAGGCGCGGCGGGAGTCGAGCCAGCTATGTTAAGGCCGCCGATGTCGAGGTTGAAGGAGTCGTCTTCAATGTTCGCACGCCTTGAGTCGCATTAGCACAAATACCTTGAGCATTTCGGAGGGAACTCATACTGGGCACCTCGTAGACGCTCATTCAGCCGATCAGCGCGGCGCTGCTGGCCTATTCATTGTATTAGCGACCTATCTGCTATTTGCTGTTGGGCTCCGCTGTAGACATACCTGTGGCCATTGCGGAACAAAATTGTGACTATACTTTTCTTTGTGCATCAAATCTTGTCTAGGCTCGGTATGTAGGTCGAATACGGTTGCGATGTTGCGCTTGGATGTTTTTAAATGTGATGTTGATGGAGTAATGTTTGGATATGCTTATGACGCGTGGGGGAGACGCGTTCTAGGTGCCGCGGGGCATCAAAGCAATTAATTGACTGACGGCCCATGTTGACCAATGGGTATCCAGAAACCCGAAATATGGACAAGATATCAATTATTCAGTAGTTTGTTGTCAATTATAAATATGTAGTCCGTGCATCAAGCTCCTCCGGTCATAACTGGAGGAATGGCCCAAGTCAATAACCAAGTAAACAGAGACCCAAGACTTTTGTTAGACGGCCAGCCGTCATCAGCCGGGTATCATTAGTATTCTATGTTCCTTTCCAGTCTATCCTTGACATGCCTTTCCTGTCTCAACAGATCCGAACGCCTTTTAAACATCCCTCAGTCCTATGTACGTGATAATAGGTTGCAGTTAATTCATAGGAACCCACTGCATCTTCTCTGTATCGAACCGGTGACTAATTAATTCCTTGTCAGTTCTTATGGACACGCATATACGTTGCATTGGAAGATCATACTCATGGTAATCAGTCTTTGACAATGCTCCCTTGCCGTATTCCGAAGCCAGGATCTCCTTGTACCTGTACGGAATCTTGACTTGAACGCCCTCAAACGTGGTATCTAATAGAGGAAAGATGTACTTGTCCTGTCACATGAAGCTTTAGCACAAGGCAACGATCATTGCCATGTATACGCACCTTGAACTCATGGTCATGCTTGTCGTACATAACCCCATCACCCATCTCATGCCCAGGGTCGTACCTCGCCGCAGTGATGTCAATAAACAGGCCATTCTGCATGTCAATCCACCGAGCATCAATGAAGTTCATATAATCATCCCTCTCGCGATATTTATGATATGGGTTGATCTCCAACTGAAAGAAGCACCCATTCGGACAACCATCGTACTGGTAGTAGTAGATGGTCATGTTATAATAGGCAGCGAGGAAATACATGTCTGCCTCAGTAACTGAGACATCGGCGTCAAGGTCCCATGGCATGACCTGAGAATCCTTCGGTTAGAGAGGGGTCTAGACATGTGAGATATGGATATCCGTATTCTTACCTTCTTTCCCCACCACCAACCGAGAAGGGAGCCATGCATTAACCAGGTCTGGACTCCCAGATCTCGAAATGTGGCTAGGTATGTCTGCATGAGGACTTTGATGCCTGCATTCTGAATCTGTGGCTCGAGAGCTTCACCAAAATATCTCAGATCATAGTGGGGATATTGTCTGAGCGAGCCCTTATTAGTTTCTGTGTGGCGTTGTGATGGATGTTGGTTGTTGGTTGGTAACTCACGATGCTTCCCCTGCAAGTTCGTTAGTCAAAGACCTTCTCGTTTAGGATACGATGGCCAATTCCATTGGGCGTAAGGTCCAAAAGTGAACTTACTAAAGTATTTCGGTGGAGGGGCTTCTCTGGTTGGGAGTTTCTGTTCAATCTTTTGCAGGACGTCAGGGACTCCAAAGGCACTAGCGCTGGTGATCCAACCCAAGGCAACGGCAATGAATGCCGATACTCTCATGTTATATCCGTATTCTCTCTGCCTGGAATACGGCGCTGCGCGTTCGTTAAGATCCAATGGTCAACGCGTATAGTCAGTTAGGTTGGTTACGTGGACTTGTGTGGTGGTGTTTCTAGAGATCTGCAGGGGTAGAGTCTCGCTCGCTCGTAGGCTGCCTCGTAACTTAAAAGGGGACGTGCGGCAATGACGTTGAGAGAGCCACTGTAGCTAAAGCCAGTAAGGGATTACTTAAATCGAAGCATTAACGACTGTTATGATCACGAGAATACAAAAAGATGCAAAGAGCGTGCTTCTTGGTGTGGAAAATGACTAGATTACAGTCTGCACGATTCAGTGAGCGTACAAACAGTTGTTTGATGTTCCATGCTATCCGACCCCTAATTCCAGCACATCCGGTGTTAGGTCAGCGTTATCACGGTTCAAATCATATCGATAAGATGTCTATCTGTCAAATACATCACAACAATTTATATACATGATAACTTCATTTCTATCATTAATGAGGCGTACGTGTCCGGAATTGGGTATAGATGTGGCTTGAAATGCATCTTCATGCCTTGTAAATTCTGTCGCTGACACTGACGCAAGCTCAAATGCCCCAGACACGTTTAAGGTTGCCCAGTCTAGACTGCTCGTCTCCACCTCCTCCTCCGTCCATCGCATCGCCAAGCTGAAGCTCAGCTGCCTAAGCTCCCTCAATCTTCAACCTCCACTAGCCTTACCTTATACCCGGCAACTTGTCATCTTCAACCCCTCCCATCAACCAACAATTCCACCTCGCATCTCGTGTTCTCTTTCTCTTAAATCGTTTACCGCAAACACACCAACGGCCGATACCTCCCCTTCCCGCCCTTGACAATGGGCGCGTGGAACGTACGTCTGCGAAACATCATGCATTATCAAACCGACAAACTGACAGTACCATAGCTCTTCCGTGTCCTGGGCGACTTGTCCCACGCCCTCTCCAAATGCATCCTCATCTTCGCTATCCATCGAAACCGGAGCGCTGAGGGCGTCTCCCTCATCACCCAGATCCTCTACGCCCTCGTCTTCTGCACCCGATACCTCGACCTCTTCATCGAGACGGTACCATGGAACATCGTGTTCAAGATCTTCTACATCATCTCGTCTATCTACATCCTTGCTATTATGCAATGGATCTACCCTCGATCGCGTGAGCGTGAGATTGCTTGGAAGATTGGCGCCATCATCCTCGGTGGCTCATTTGTCCTCTCCCCGTTCGTCATGCTCATCTTTGAGAGCCACAAGGGTTTCCGACCTGTATGTTACTGTTCCCCAGCAACCTCAACATCACTAACAACTTCTAGTGGATGTGGGTGTTCTCCCAGATTCTCGAGTCCGTTTGCGTTCTTCCCCAGCTTCTCCTCCTTCGACAAACAACCGTCCCCACCGTTATCGACTCCTTCTACCTCGTCGCTCTCGGTTCCTACCGCGCTCTCTACTGCGTCAACTGGTTCATCCGCGAATTCGAGATCTCCGGCAAGAAGCCCAACACCGTCTCCGTCATCTTCGGCATCATCCAGACTGCCCTATACATCGACTTTGCTTGGGTTTACTACACTCGCCAGCGCGTCAAGCTTCGAGGTGGCGGCATTGTCGACGCCGATGATATGTCCCGCGGTTGGCTCCTCCGCCGAATCTTCGGAAAGCGCTTCGAGAACAACGATGATGACGAGGAAAGCGGTCCTGGTGGCTTTGAAGATGAGCAAGGTGGCCGACGAGGAACTCGCCCCAAGTGGGGAGCTCGTGGTATCTCAGTCAGTGCCGATGATGGCGTTCTCGAGCAGGACCAACACAACCGCGATCAGGACGAGTTTGGTGGCCCAGTGGACCCTGACGCCAAGATGCAAGACCCCGATGAGCTTGCGCGAGCACTCGACGATGACGACGATGAGCAGACACCGCTACGACCTGGACAAACAGAAGGCCAACCCAGCGGTCTTCAAGGCGGCGAGGGCTGGCGCGATTAAGATACCAAGCTTCCACGCCAAACTACAACTTACATCACTTTTACGAACCCGGGTATGAACTCGGACGGAGTATGACGGATTGTTTATTTGGAATGTCTTGAAAGGTCTACTATTTTGCCATTTTAGTGCAACGTTTGATGCGATGCGATGCATGGAGCCATGATAGAAGAGAGGGAGAGTGATTCTGGCCACGACGCGCCAGCGATGTTTCTAGGGGTATTCCTGGGTCAAATTTATGTACACATAGCGGAATTCTCACAACGCCAATCTCAAGCCGGGATGAATTGGAATTCAGGTCACTTCAAGATCATGCATGTCACATTTGCGATATGAATCAAAAGAAGGGGTCGATGTGTGGATATCATTCAGGCAAAACCATGCCCATTCCTGCGCTCAAACCCCGTGCAGTTGTGTTGAGACAATCCCATCCCTTTCCACCATCGCCACCATGTCCTTCAAGGACGAACAACAGCTCCCAACAATTCGCGCCATATGACAAGGAATCTTTCCAGTCCCGTCTTTTTGCAACTCCCATCAGCAGCATCCCAAGCCGCGAAGAACTCCTGTAGTATAACAAATAACAAAGCTAAACCTTAACGAATGGAAAAGAAAAAGTCATATACTAGTAATAACATAAACGTAGGGTATTTCCATCAATGGACGAAGCGCTTCTCAAACTCTGCAAATAGCTTAGGTGTGATTTCATCGCTGCTCATGCCCTCAATTTCGACGAGGACGCCCTTCTGGGCATAATGGTTCAGAACAGGCTCGCTCGTCTCTTGGAATTTCTTGTATCGTGCTCTGTAGACTTCTTCAGAATCATCAGGGCGCTGGATCAATGGCTCGCCGGTGATGTCGTCGATGCCGGGGACTCGAGGCGCATTGAAGCTGGTGTTGTAGACTCGGCCAGAAGGTTCGTGAACCCAGCGTCCGAGGATTCGCTCGAGAATAACGGACACAGGGGTCTTGAGGGAGACGACGAGATTGATTGGAATGAGCTTGTCGAGAGGACCGGCTTGGGAAGCTGTTCGCGGGAAGCCATCGAGGATGAATGAAGCGGATGGATCGTTGGAGGCCTTGGAAGGACGGTGGCCGTCGAGGAAGGGTGCGTTGATGAATGGATCAGAAGCAGCGCTATTGAAAGAAGCCTCCATCGCTGTCGCTTCAGAAGAAAGAGTCATGACGTTTGGACCTCCATTCTTAGCAAGCCACCCGCGAGTGAAGAACTCGTTGGAGATAAGTCGCAAAATAAGATCATCAGCAACAAGTCCGCCCGCCTTCATCGTATTCTCGACCTTAATGCCTGTCCCATTATTAGCATTCGCCTAAATGTTCCAATTGAGGGGGGGAACCAACCGAGGGGTGTTCTATCCTTGACATTTCGACGCAAGAGATCACCAGTACTAATCTGATTGAGCTGAGGAAAGCGAGCGAGCAATCGCTCGCTCTGGGTCCCTTTACCAACGCCAGGTGCACCAAAGAGAATGACTCGAGCGGCCTTGTTCAGGTTCATTCTAGGCGACCTGTAACGATTGAGGCCGTCGCGAGTTTAAACAATTGAGGAACTTGTGGCGGTAGATCAAAAGAACAAAAAAAGCTGCGCTTCTATGCGATAAATAAAAATAAAAACAAGGTTGTAGGTGCGGATCCAAAAAGTCGTTCGAGGTTTAATTTCTTGTTGAGGGTCGATGGGACGATACTTCGGAGATGGCGCGGGGAGATTGTTGAGTCGGAAAAAACAGTCGCGGGGATAGCTTATAGGAGGATGAAAGAGGAGGAAGGGAGGGAGAAATGATGGAATAAGCAGCCACGGGATTACAAAACAACAGTGAGCGATGGATTGGATTTGTAACCAAGAAAGAAGGAAAGATGAGATGGGTTGAGTTGAGTTGAGGTGGATGGGAACCAGGTTGGAAGTGGGGGGCTTATGTACTGTAGATAGGACGAGGCAAAGCGCTTTTGGTGTTGAGTCCAAGTCGCAAGCGTGGTACTTTTATCCTCGCTATAGTTGAGTGGCGACACAGGTACCCTTCACTGAAGATGGTGTGGACCGTGCGATGAGGGAACGGTCAGGGTGGGCAGGGACCAACCTCGAGAGTCAATCTTGATGACGGAGTCTATAACCGTGGCTTGCCGTCTTTAACATCTAGATTTTAAACGTTCTATTCTTGAAGTTTTATAGAGATAACTTTATGGAATATGGCTGACCATTGCCGGGACATTTCGGAGTCCGGAAGATGTGGCATACAATGGGTGGTGAGAGGTACTCGAATCGGTGATTTTGCCTTAAGTCCGGTACGGGCTTTGAGATCGAAACAAAAACAAGGGAAGGGGACGGTTAATTATCCCGTGTCATTTCGAGGTGTCATTTGTCGATCTGGGGAATAAATGTGCACCTCCTTCTTGGCGCCGTTGATCCGGTACATGCTGCGTCTTCGCTCAAAGTCCGAAATCGCTATACACGACCTCGGCAGCACAATCAGTTCCTCTTCTACAATCTACATTAGAGGACATTCAAACTCGAAGACAAAAGACGGTAGATACTCGAGTCTCGTTTCGTTCTAGAGTGCAGCCTAGAGTTGGCGTTAACGGCATTCCAAGATGATGCCTAGCACGTGTATTACTTGTTAACCAATCAAGCTTGTCAGATTGCTTTCCAGGAACCCCGGATTTTCCAAGACGGCGGACACCTCGGCACACGGCATTACAAGCCACTGTGCATACCCGTGCAAGCGAGCGTGCCGTCATCATGGTCCATCGGCCATAGGGTAGCACAAGATCCGTGAAAACGTTTGAATAGTGCCCCGAAGAGCAAAAGGATTCAAGACCTTCTATCAGGGTATTACGAATAACTAATCATAAGGTCTCCTAAATTTATTTTTAAATTGCCTAAAGTGATCCTAAGTTTACCTAAGCATTTTTGTCACTCATGATCGTTCTCTCAAGTTTTGCCTCTCTCCTAGGGCGGACACGGTTATCGTGAAACCGTCCAACCATGGTGTCATTGCCAGCTTCTATCATCATTTATGAAGTTCCCTCTCGACCCAGAGGATCCAAGGCTGTCTAATAAAGCCTTCAAGATGTTCAAGAAGTCCATAAGACCTGGTAGTAGAGGCGGAAAACATGCAGGCTAGAAGCCTCTTATAACAGCCTGCAGTATGCCTACCACCCCCATGCTGGTCGAACTCAAGTTTAAGAGGCTTGCCCTCGAAATAGCCATACGCCACAACAAAGCAGCCGACACGATCGGCCAACAGGATCAAGCTGCAACAGACCAGCTCATCAAGTGGAAGGCTCAACTGGAGAAGGACGAGAACTGGATCTCCTAGCGAATAAGAGTGGTCCTGGACGTCATTGACCAGCACAAGGACCGATATCCCGACTATTCGTTCTTAATCGTGGGTGAAAGTTGCGCTTAGGAAGAGGTAGAACCAGAACCGCAGACCGAGTACAATAGGCGGCTGGCCCCATCGAGAGACATTTTGCCATCAAGAAGGCTTTTGAGGCTACGCCTCCACCAGTTATACTTGCTAGCAGGGCCAGTGGAAGACAAGGCCCCAATCTCTGGTACTTCAACATCGTCATACAATGCAAGCCGTGGCATAGGAAGTTCAGACAAGGGGATGCGTTTGCCGGCCTGGCCAGGAGAAGCCAGTGCTTATTTACGAGCTCAGGGCGGATGATTGTCTCATTGAGGTGCACAAGATCAAAATTCGTAACGCCAAGAACGAGTTGAACAGCGAAATCGAGGAAAGCATCACCCGGGATGACAACATGGTCATCGCGGAGAACGATCGGAGACAACTAATTGTGTAACTGTCCCCAAGGGCCCCGAATTTCTTCAATCCTAAATGCCAAAAATACTTAGGTAAGTTTATGATAAACTTAGAAGGCTCTTTGACGAGTTTACTTTCGCTTTGAGGCCGAGCAAGCGAGCGTATCTTCATGGATGAGAGTGTGTCAGTGATGCCACTCATGCAAGCTTTGATAGGGCTCGCGGACCGAATGCAGCGAACAGAGCGCAAAGGCAAGAAATTCCTCCTACCTCTCAAACCTCGATAACATTGAGGTCTCCGAGATTGAAGCTAAGGTTGCGGGACGATAATGCGGAGCGGCGCGGCGCGGTAAGTTGCGGTGCGGTGCGGCCAGACTTGACCGAAACTCTGTTGTCGTTGGTGAAGACTGGCGCATATACCACGCCAACGAGTCCAATTAAGCTTAATTTTGAGCTTCTTGTCAGGTTAACGGCCACTTTGCTGAACTCCCCCCCCCATTTGTACACCCTGTTATTCCATCATTGGTGGTCCAGTCAATGGATAGACGTCATGAGAAACAACAGAACAACAGGAACTTTGATACTCAGCATCTCATAACATTATAGAGAAAAATGACATGTTAAAAACAAGATCACTTTTCACAATTGCCGTGCATGTTTCCCGAACTTTTAATCGTGGGGTGCTACACCCCTACGATCAGCGGAATTATATCCCCATTGACTACAAACCCATCTTAGCATCGGGATGTGGACCGCCAACCTCACGGCTAACAATTCTCTCTTCATCTATTCCTCCAGCAATCAAATTCTCACGCGTTACAAAAACCCGGATGTTATCCGACGACTCAGTCTTGGCTGACAAGCACATCCACTACCGGTGATACCTCCATCGTACAAGCTCCCAGACATTCGGTACAAGACGCATGGTTCTTGACCGTCATGGGATTTGCATTCTGTTAAAAGGGCCGAAAACTTATATGGGCTCCCCGCATGTTTAAACGGTTTAGAGCCTGCGCCGTCCCCAGATTATCCCCGCGTTGGTCCTCTGCATCATGAGAATCACGGCCTTTTTAGTCATGAACCACCAGGTTTTTCATCGGGCTATATTCTTGGCATTGCGGGAACGGATTTACTCATCTGGTATTTTTATTCGGCCAACTGTCTCGGAGTGAGTTGTGATTGGGTCGGAGGGGGGTCCATAGCTGGATTTATGAGTTCCGGGCTTGACTTATAGCTCCCGGATACTCAATACTTTGTGTGTTGTGAGGTTAGACTGAGAGAAGCAAGGATTGAGAAGGTCGGTCCGAATGAAGTTGATGATGATGGAGTTTGCGATGGCCAAGATGGTGAGAGTGTAAGTGAATGACCTCGGGTCTGCTAAAACTTCGGGATATGGAGAGATGTTGACGAAGTGTGAGTGTATATAAGATGAAGTGATCGACCAGATGTTTGTATAGAGCCAGTCGATTCACAGACTGGGATTCCTATCTACCTCTTCACCATCCTCCACCATGTGGTCCAGCCTTCTCCTTCTGGGAGGCGTCTCTTTGAGCATAGCCAACCCAATTGTTCGACAAGATGCCAACCCTCCCTACAGAAACAAGACTCTATGTCTCGACAAGCGTGTTGATGACCTCATGTCACGCATGTCCCTTGAGGACAAGGCAGGCCAGATGTTCCACGGCCGTACCGTGGTGGTCAACAATACCTTTGATGAGACCATTGAGGAGTTCGTCACTGGCAAGCGTATCACTCATTACGTCCTGAGCGGCGGTGTGAATGATGTTCGTGGTGTTGCCAACTGGTATAACAAGCTCCAGAGACTCGCCCTGAGCACGCCCCTGGGCATCCCCAGTGAGTAGTCTTGATGATATTGTGACTTTATCAACTCCTAAGCATACTGATGTCTTGTTAGTCACAATAAGCAGTGATCCACAACACGGGTGGACAGACGAGAATGCAGTCAGCGTTGTAGCACAGGGTTTCTCTCGATGGACTGAGCCTCTTGGTCTCGCTGCGCTGCGATCCCCTGAGCTGGTCCGCCAGTTTGCTGAGATCGCACGCGAGGAGTACGTCGCTGTCGGTATTCGACAAGCACTGCATCCTCAAGTCGATCTAGCTACTGAGCCACGCTGGGGGCGTATAACCGGGACCATGGGAGAAGATGCCAACCTCACCAGTGCCTTGATGGTCGAGTATATCAAGGGTCTTCAGGGTGGCAAGATCGGTCCCAACTCGGTAATTGCGACCACTAAGCATTTCCCTGGCGGTGGTCCAATGGAGGACGGAGAGGACTCTCACTTTCCCTGGGTAAGTAATAATCCTTCTAATGGTAGAACAATTCCTGACGTTGAGGTGTAGGGCAAGAACCAGACTTACCCTGGCAACAACCAAGACTACCACTTGATCCCCTTCAAGGCCGCCATCGCAGCTGGTACCCGTCAAATGATGCCCTACTATTCTCGTCCCATCAATACTTCGTGGGAAGAAGTTGCCTTTGGCTTCAACAAAGGTGTAGTCAACGATCTCCTCAAGAAAGAGCTTGGCTTCGATGGTATCGTTGTAACAGACTGGGGTATCGTCACCACCCGAGCCTGGGGTCTGGAAGACCAAACTGAGCTCGAGCGCGCTCGCCGCGTTCTTGAAGCTGGATGCGATATCTTTGGTGGCGAGACAAAGCCCGAGCTTATTATTGAACTCGTCAACAAGGGTCTCATTTCAGAGGCCCGTATTGATGAGTCTGTTCGCAAGCTTATGAAGGAGAAGTTTGAGCTGGGTCTTTTCGACAACCCCTTCGTTGATGTTGACAAGGCTGAGCGTATTGCTGGAAACGACTACTTCAGCCGTCTTGGAAACGAGACACAGCGCCGCGCCTTCACGCTTCTCACCAACAAGGATCATGTCCTCCCTCTTCCTCTGTCCGCCCTTGATGCCAAGTTCTACATCGAGGGAATTGAACCCGAAGTCATGGAAGCTCGCAACCTCAGCGTCGTCGAGAACCCCGAGGACGCAGACTACGCATTCCTCCGCCTCGCCTCACCCTTCAAGCCCACCACAGCCCCTGGTCTTCCCGCCATGATCAACAACGGCAGTCTCGAGTTCAACACGACCGAAAAGGCTCGCCAAGCCAAGATCTACGCGACTCTCCCAACCGTCGTGGACATCAGACTCAACCGACCCGCCGCAGTACCTGAAGTAGCTGAGCAGGCTGTTGCGCTGTTCGGTAGCTACGGTAGCAGCCACGATGCATTCTTGGATGTTGTTTTTGGAACAGATGGTTGGGGCCCTGAGGGAAGGTTGCCTTTTGATCTGCCTTTGTCTCAGGAGGCTGCTGATGCGCAGAAGGAGGATGTGCCTTTTGATGTGGAGGCTTTGTTCAAGTTTGGACATGGATTGAGGTATAAGGATACGTGTGACAGTTCTTAGTTAATTTGAGAAGATGAAATGATTGTGAGATGATAATGACATAGCTTCACCCGATGAAGGGTCTGTAATTAAAATGAGCTGTTTGTGTATACATGATTGTTTGATGACGCATTGATGTCTTGGTAATGACAATAAGAGCTAGGCTTTGTGTGCCATTGTATCCTAATTACCAACATTTTCTCAAGCTTTGAACGAGAAAGATAAATGGTATCACCAATTGGCATTGTTTGTTAACATTAAGTTAATACCGCATCAGACTCAAAGCCATGTTTGGCCGTAAACACAGAGTGAGACCAACTGTCTTGGCTAATGAATGCAGGTTAAATGGCCCGGAAATACTGAAACCAATCAAACGTAAATGGAAACAGTTCAAAGCGTCTGAGCCTATGTTTCATAATCTCCGAGGAGACTGGCCAATGCTGACCTGCCAACTCAGACTGCAACTCAAGTAAATGAGGCCCATTCTACGGCTACATTTACCAATATCTACAGACCACATCACATACTCGGCTAAACATTGCGGCAAATTCGAACATCTCCAGCGAACACAGAGCGGAGATAAGAGCGGGCTTTATCCATTGTTGAGACCTGTCACATGCAGGGCAGGGGGAATTGAAAGGACTTCTCTCTCTCACAAGTCCCAACAAAAGGATACACTCGGCACTACCGGTCATCACGTGATGCCTGTTCTTCTAGATTCTGTTGACGCAAGCCCCCTGTAAATCGCAAGCAGAGGGCAGGGATTGGATGCATTCATTGTAAGCCCTGCCGGAACAATAGAGAGCCCGTCCCGAATGCGGCGAACCCCGGTCGGCGGGAAGACGGAGCTAGCCTGCTCTGCGCTCATCTATTGATCCAATCCCATCACCACGAGCACTGCTATTATTGTACGGTTTGTTAGGTACTGTACATCACCACACCCTTTCGCCATTAGCGGGCTCTTGGAGAATCTCGACTTTGCATCCACTTTGTCCCTTTTCTTCATTATCTCCAACTTCAATTTATCTCACGCTGCTCTGTTCTGTTCTGCTGTACCATTTTGGACCCTCGATATCGATACATTGCGCCGAGATTAAGAAATTATACTCTACACCCTATCCGCCACATCTGATCCTCCCTCTACTTCCGACTTCAGCTCGCCATGAGCGCCTCCTCAAATGTCGCTCGCCGGGCGGTTGCCCGGAACCCTTTGATGGGCAATGGTGAGCATCGCCTTTTTGATGAGGTGTCGTTTATCTCCTCTGCTAACCTCTCACCAAAGCCCGAGCTCTCTCACGAGGTGTTACTCCCGCCCTTCTCGGTCGCCACGTCAGTCGTAATGTCAAAGTCCCTGCCATTGCTCTGTTGATTCCTCGATCGATGAGTACCGACCATCACCGACACGATCCCAGTTCTTCTGGCCCGCCCCCGGGATTCAATGCCGAGCAGGCTAAGAAGCCGCTTCCCAAGGATTCTACAGATTCTGTTGTTGCTAAGAAGGAGGACAAGAAGCTTGACCCGAACCCCAAGGACGCTGCTGTACTGAAGTCCGCCGATGCCTCTGCCGCAGCCAAGGCTGATACAGAAGTCGTGGCCACCAAGGAGGGTGTGATGGAGAAGGGCGATGCTGCTCAAAAGGCCAAGGAGGAGAAGAAACTTACTCTTTGGGAAAAGGTCAAGAAGGAGGCTCACCACTACTGGGATGGATCTAAGCTGCTCGCCGCTGAGGTCAAGATCAGCTGGCGATTGGCCCTCAAGATGGCTGCCGGATACGAGCTCACTCGACGTGAGAACAAGCAACTTCAGCGAACAGTCCAGGATCTTGGTCGTTTAGTGCCCTTCTCCGTCTTCATTATCGTTCCTCTGGGTGAGGCACTTCTGCCTCTTGCCCTCAAGCTCTTCCCCAACATGCTCCCCAGCACATTCGAGGGACAAAAGTCAAAGGAGGCCAAGGCCACACTTCTCCGATCCACACGCAAGGAAGTCAGTCAATTCTTAAGACAAACACTCGGCGAGTCTGGCTTGCCAGTGAGTCAAGCAACAACACAAAAAGAAGAGTTCTCCAACTTCTTCCGCAAAGTTCGCGCCACTGGCGAGACACCAACAGCCGAGGATGTTATCAAGGTCTGCAAGGTCTTCCGCGACGATTTGACCCTCGATAACTTGTCACGACCTCAGCTCGTTTCCATGTGCAAGTACATGAACCTTAACACATTCGGTACCGACATGATGCTCCGATATCAGATTCGCCACCGCATGCGACAGATCAAGCGCGACGACAAGGCCATTAGCTACGAGGGCGTTGACAGTCTGACCGTTGCCGAGCTTCAGGCTGCTTGTGCTGCTCGTGGTATCCGAACACACAGTGTCTCTCCCGCTCGCATGCGAGCAGACCTTCAGACTTGGCTCGATCTCCGACTCAAGGAGGGTGTTCCCTCAACACTTCTCGTTCTGAGCAACGCCTATATGTACGGCCAAGGCTCAGGTGAGGGTTACAACCAGATTGACGCTCTCATCGGTGTCATGTCTGCCATTCCCGAGGAGCTGTATCACGAGATCGAGCTTGAGGTCCACAGCGCTGAGGGTGCTGCCACCAACAAGCAGCGACTCGAGGTCATCAAGGAGCAGCAGGATCTCATCGAGGACGAGGCGGAGCAGGACCAGGCTAGTCAAAGCTCCGGTTTCGCCACTCCCCGAGACACAGATGATATCGATGAGAAGGAGGAGAGAATGGCTCAAGCTCAAGCCGAGGGTCTCGGCAAAAAGCAAGTTAGCGAGATGGTTGAGGCCGAGATGGAGTTGGCCAAGGCTGCTGAGTCTGCTGCATCACTAGAGAAGGAGATCCATGCGAGCTCTGGAGCGTCTAAGGAGCAGAAATAGACGAGAGGAGGTGAAGTGAGCTTGAGGCTCAATGTACCATGACTTGGTGTGTGTTTTCATATGTATGACTGTATGGATTGGTATGGCATCAAGGCGGGATGGGAATTAGGCGCTGTGCTGCTGTATCAAAACTGGCCCCCGACATTTGAGAGGACCGAAGATTAAGTATTACTTGTTTGGGATAGACCACTCTCGACGGGAAGCAATAGATTCCACTGAATGATTTTATTTGTATATATAATTGATTTGCCAGAAACACTTGCAATTGTGAGTTATTTCCGGGTTATCTTCTATTGATGCCTATGAGACCCTTGGGCTTGGCTGAGCTGCGTCATCGTCTTTGCTAATGTAGATCCTGATAGAGGGATACTTTGGAAGTGATGATGAGGGATCACTATGGCCACCGGATATGAGATAGCGTACCTGTAAATGACTGAGCAAATGAAAGAAACTAATTGGAAGAGTACGACCAAGTCTTTATAATCTCAGACACAGCCAATGCGGTGATATTCTAGAATCGCTGCACTCATAGAAGCCCCTCTCTATCTTACAGTGGCCCCTGCGCCACCCCAGCTCCCCACGTCCTAACCTCTGCCACTTAACTTAGCACCACCAAGCATCAAGTCAACTCCCGCCAACTCCGCCCACTTTCAATCAACCTCACCTCACTATCGTTCCTCTCCAGCCGCCTCACATCGCTACCACATTAACCTTCCACCTGGTCCTGATCGAAAGCCTGCACTGCCATCTCACACATTGGCCCTGCAATGACGGCCATGGAACAACAACAAGACGACTTCTCCAACGTCTCGTGGAGCGAACACGTCCACGACCAGACATCTCGCCATGTTCCTCCCGCTGAAGAGCCCGGTCATGATATGAATGCGCCCGGGACCGGTCTAGAGATAGATGCCCCGTCGCTGGGGAATGAGGTGCTGGAGTGCACTGTTGGAACGCCCATCAAGGAAAATGACGGTACCAAGGATGCTTTTGTCTCGTATCTCATCACCACACACGTACGTACCCTCAACCACTCTATCCTGCGCTCATACTGACCATTGCAGTCTACCTTCTCTGCCTTTCAGCGCTCAACTACAACCGTCCGCCGTCGCTTCACAGACTTCGTATTTCTCTACAAACAACTCACCCGCGAATATCCCGCCGCTGCCGTACCCCCTCTGCCCGACAAGCAACGCATGGAATATGTCCGCGGCGACCGCTTCGGCTCTGACTTTACCGCCCGTCGCGCCCACTCCCTCCAGCGCTTCTTGATCCGACTCTCCCTTCATCCTACACTGCGCCGCGCTCCCATCCTGCATACGTTCCTCGAGAGCCATGATTGGAATGCTACCATGCGCAGTCGTGGTGCGCGCAGTAGCTCTGCCAGTGATCCTGGATCTGCGGGGGTGTTTGATAACTTTGCTGATACGTTCATCAATGCTTTTACGAAGCTGCATCGCCCGGATCGTCGGTTCCTTGAGGTCAAGGAGAAGAGCGACAAGCTTGATGATGATCTTGGGCACATTGAAAAGGTTATTGCTCGGGTTGCCAGGCGAGAGACAGATTTGGAGGTGGACTTGCGAGATCTCGCAGAGCAGTTCCAAAAGCTCATTCCTCTTGAACCCCATGTCGAACCCGCAGTTCACGGCTTCTCCGCTTCCATCGAAGACACAGCGACTCATCTACGAAAACTCAAAGACGTCACCGACCAAGACTACCTCGGTTCCCTGCGCGACATGCAAGCCTACTCCATCGCCCTCAAAAACCTCCTCAAAGCGCGCGAGCAGAAACAGCTCGACTACGAACAACTCACCGAATATCTCAACAAATCCACCACCGAGCGCGACACCCTCCAATCCGGGCATCACGGCGGTTCCGGTGCCGGGAGTTTTCTGCGCGCCAAGATCGAAGACGTGCGCGGCGTAGACCACGAACAAGCACGTCGCGAGCGCACGCGCAAGCTGGAACTCCGTGTTGAAGAGCTAACTCACGAGGTTGAGAGCGCTCGCAAGACGAGCGACATGTTTGACGATGAGGTTGTTAAGGAGGTAGCTGATTTTGAGCGCATCAAGCGGATTGAGATGAAGAGTCAGCTGGGGGGACTTGCGGATGCGCATATTGAGTTTTATGGTGAGGTTGCTAGTATTTGGGAAAAGTATGTGCAGGAGATGGAGAAGGAGGGGATTGTGAGTGCGTAGTGGTAAGAGTGGGATTGAAGTTCTATTGGGCGTTTATTAGGATATGGCGTTTGGGTTGTTTAGATGATGGTGATGAGGACTCGACTAAAGTAGCTCGTCTAGAATAAAGATATTCATGGCAATAGCAGTCAGCAACAGTGAACAAAGGGCATTGAAGAGTCTCGAGAGCAAGTATTGCTTCGAAGAATTGAGATCCGATGCAAGAATCACACATTAATCAATCTTGACATTTTGTACCAAACGCCATCCAACGTCTATTGACTAAAGCACATTATACCAACATAGATAAGACAAATCACATAAACTCCGCTTATCCATGCAAAAAACCACCCAAATAGCTTGCTACGATGCCCAAGTCATGTGTCAACGTCCACCCAAAGGTCTTGTCTCACCCTTCTCGTCATCACTGCTCTCCTCATCACTATCGTCATCGCTGTCACTGTCTTCTCCCACAGCATAATGCTGCGTATCATCACCAGCCAATCTATCACGAGATTGCTCACGGTCATCTCTGTAATCTTCAAACTGCTCATCATCGCTTCCCTCGGCAAAAGCGTCGTATAACTCTCCGCCACGAGTCCTGCGAGCTTTACCGCCGGCGGCCTTTTCGCCAGCTCTAAGACCCTCAGCCTCTTCTTCGTCGATGAGTTCGAATTCGTAGTTGTTATTGGAGGTGTTGCGAAGACGGCGGCGACGGGCGATCCAGAAGTAGATGCCCAGGCCGATGCAGAAGGCTGCGATGAGACCGACTGCGCCATAGATCCAGATCTGTGCTTTCTTGGAGGCGCCGAAGGTGGGGAGCCAAGAGACCCAGGACGATGAAGCTGTTGTCGATTCCTCGGCAGACTCTTGGGTACTTGAGGGCTCTTCCTCGTCGGTGCTGGTAGGTCGAGCGGGCTTGTTTGGTCGTTCAGGGTGGTCGGTAGGATGTTCGATGAGAGTAGGCTTGGTAGCAGGAGGAGCTGAGGTTGTGGAAGCGACAATCGTTGTGGTAGACACAATCTTATCATGGTCCTTGTCGTCGTCTGCGTTAGGCATTGGCAGCAGAGTTGCCTTATCAGCATCAATAGCTTCACCCCAAAGCTTCAGGCGCCAGTCGGTAAAGCTACCCTTGAACGAGTTCTTTTCAGTGTCACGGACAATAATGGTCCATTTGCCAACACCACTTTCACCCCTGCAAAATGTTAGAATGAGCAGACCAATTTTAAAACGAATACATACCAGTGAGCAACACTCATAAAAGTCCAGTCGATATATCCCTCCTCCTTGGCATCGCCTCGTCGAGCAACTGCAAGATGGCTCACCACGTTATCAGGGCTGATCAGATCAACGCTCAGGTCACCACGTCGAGTGTGCTCGACGTTCATAGTAACAGTGATGTGTTCCACGCGAGCGAGGTTGGAGCCCTTGAGCATGTCCTCAGTAACTTCGAGCGTCACACTCAGGCCATCTCGACCCTCCGGAATTGACTTCTTGACGTGAACCCAAGGAGAGAAATACCATGACTGTGGCTTAACCAGCGGCCAATCCTTGGCTTTCTCGACCAAAGCCCATGAGTCAATCTTTCCATAACCGAAGACGTGGCTGAACTTCTTGCCAATCGTAGTGTTCTGCTGGTTGGACTCGTCGCCTTCAATCGGGATTGCCGTGTCCATGGCGATGTATTGCAAGTCTCTCCAGGTGAGCTCAGGGCGAACTTGAAGTGCCAGAGCGAAAATACCAGCAGCAAGAGGCGCGGCAGCAGATGTACCACCGTGAGCCTTGTAACAACTATTCTTTCCAACATCGGTTGTGTGCTAGATGAGTTAGTCAACATTCGAGACAAAGGCAATATTGAACCTACAATAGCATCCCCGCTTCCACTGCTGTATGTAACAACCAATTGAGCGGAGCACTCTTCGGCGTAGTAAGGATGAAGTCCAGTTCGGTCAACAGCACCAATGGTAATACTATAAATCGAATTGGTGTATCCATCAAAGTTGCAGTTATCGCCTTGGCCGGCACCATTGCCACTGGCAAAAACGTAGATGGAACCAAGACCACCACGTCCCTTTTGAATAGCCTTAAGCATAGCTCGTCGAATAACCACATCAGGAGCCTCCATGGTTTGGCCATCGTCAGAGGGGCCCCATGAGCACGAGTAGATATGGTTGTCGTCGTATTTGTACATCATAGCTTCCGCTTCGTCGGCGTCGCTAATAAGCTTACTAAGAATTCGAAGACCGGCGACTTTGGAATCATAGGCGACACCGATACCGCAGACGTCGTTGCGAGCAGCTGCGACTTCACCAGCGCAGCGTGTACCGTGTCGATCCTCATCCAAAACAGGGGCAGGTTCGGGGTCGTTGTCGTTAAAATCCCAAGAGCCGGCGGCAAAATAGTTGGGCTTGAGATCATCGCTATGCATATCAAGACCGTCGTCAATCACGGCCACAGTAACGTTCTTTCCAGTAATGCCATCCAGCCAGAGGCCAGTGACATTGACATCGTGGCCAACCTGAGTGGGGTTCAATAGATGCCACTGCTCTTTGAAGATGGGGTCTTGAATGTCTAGCTCTTTCATGATTGACGCCTGGTATTTACTCATCAGGTCTCGAGCTTCCTCCGGTGATTCGCGACGGCCGAGTTGAGGGACATAGTCTTTCGGGGGTGGAGGGATCTCTCGCTTGAAAAGGTGTTGTCGTGCTTGTTGCTTCTTGGACAAAAGAATGCCATCAACTGGATCAGAGCCTCCCAGATCTCGCTTCCTTCTCTTTCGCTCTGTTATTTCTCTTTTGACAATATCGTGTTCGACCTTAGGAGCGCGGAAAACATGGTGGTCATCAAGTGCACCGAGCTGGCCCTCGTGGGCGAATCCGAGTCGACTAGCGACTTGATCGGGTGTCGTTCTAGGATCGAGATGCAGGACATAATAATCGTTTAATGCGTAATCTCGTGCCGGTCTGGATCCATGGGCCAGAGCCGTGACGCCGGCGAGGCTCAACAGCGAAGCAATCTTCATGATGCGAAAGGAAAGGAAGCCCTTGCAGCGCAAAGGGAGGTGCGAGAGGTCGAGAAGCTGTTTAACACATCCAGAGAAGCGCAATCGAACGGAACGAGAACTGAAGCAAACGGAGATATTAGCTTCGATGTTGAGAGAGCGAAAATTGAATGGCGACGACAGCGACGGGAGTTGCCACGCGGAGGTCTATATTCGTGGTGGCTAAGGGGATCAAGAATGCAAAGCAATGTTGCTACGTTTTCGTACCACCAGCGTAAATTGTCGGCGCAGGTCGCACAGCTTATGCTGTTGGGGAACAACGGTTCTTGTTATCGTACCTCGAAAATGTAACGCAGTCGATCAAGGTTCAGGAGAAGCTAGGATGGTTAAAAAAGGTTTAAGGAGGAACAAAGAAATGGGGATGGATGCTCTCGTGGTGATGCGTGGCCTCGAACGCTACCGGGGAGGTACCACCCAAAGTTCCTGACAAAAATAGGGGACCTGCGCTGGAGCCGCTGGTGGTGCGTGGCCTAGAAGGGGCCCGGGGGGATCAGTCCGCTGAAGACACACGGCCACCTGCCGAATAGATGCCCCTAGCTGCGCCACAGCGGACATGGACCAGTTGGCAATGCAACATAAAGTATCACGTTTGTAGTTTTTCGCATGTGGTTTGAGACGGGATCTGCTGATCTTGGCACCGATAGAAATGCTAAAAAATATTGAATTCTCTTAAAATACCAGTCTTTCTGTGGTTCTGTCATTCTGGCTTGCACTCATTCTTCTGCCTATTCTCACTGTCCAGGCATCATCATATTCTCATCCCAAACGCCACAGCTCCGCCACTCTTGACAGATCTCAAACACTCAGACCAAGATTAGACCAGATCTGGACCCGTGCGTAGTATCCTCCCACCAAAACCGCACATCAATAAGCGGCTCAATAGAGGCACGGTCCCTGGAACATGAGGAATTTACCTCAACAAATGTTTAAGTCTAACACAGGAACTCGCTCTAAAAGATCTCATTCCATGTCTATCGCCCCAACGCCATTTCTAAACCGACCATCCGTTTTTAAATCGTTATATGAATGCTTACAGAGACTCCTCCTTGTGAATCTCAATGCTTGGTGGCGCTCCTGTGAGAGCCTTGCATTGAGCGTACACCACGAATTGAGCGCCCACAAGACCGCATGTCATGACGATACGAGGTCCCAGTCCAGTGAGAAGCAATCGTTTAGGTCCGAATTCTTTTGCAAGTTGGAACATGCGACTTGTCGCGCCCTGGCTCTTATCGCCTGCACCTTTGTTGATGGCTGACAAGAGGGTATCGGCAGGATGAGAGAGAATGGCGGCAGCAGCACCGGCGGTGATACCAGATGTAAGTTCTACTCCAGTCGACTCAAGCTGCGTGAGCTTCTTCTTACGTTCGGGGCCCATTGAGCGGTAGATGATCTCGTTGACGGCCTCATGAACAGAGAATTGACCAACAGCGAAAGGAATCTGCTTGAACAGCAGAGGAACAAAACCAGAGTAAAAGCCCTTGAAGCCCTCCTCACGCGCCATTCTTGTAAAGCCCGAAAACAAGCCATCGGCATATCCTCTCTGCGAAACGAGTCGAATTCGCGTAGCCTCGAGCGGACACAGAAGAATATCAGCAAAGAACTCGGCAGATGCACTGGCAGTGAGATAAACGCCCGTTCGATGATCGACAGCCTTCTCAGGACCTCCAAGCATAGTGATGTACTTCTTCTTGAAGAACTCGTAGCCAGCGAACTTGGCACCACCTTGGACGAGGTAGCCTACTGCTGTTGGACCGAAGCCGGTCAGTAGCGCCGAAGCACCCTCCTTGGCGACGATGCTGCGACCAGCTGAAAGCATGTTATATCCCTTCAAGGCATCATCGACCTGAATTCGTGTCTTGACGACATCAATTGGCGTGACGGCCTGTGTAATGTCAGCTTGCGACTGTGAGCATGTGCAGCATGCGACTTACACCATGAGTAGACGTCGCAGCGAGGGCGCCAGCGCCAAAGAACTTGACATAATCGCTGATAGTGAAGTTGGGCACTTCCGACTGTTTCGTAGCCATGATGAATGTCGCTCAATTGCTAAATCTGCTGCTCCGAAGCTGTTTTGTTTAGAATGCGCGTTTGATGTGTTTTATGTTTTTCACTGGAATGATGACGTCGTTCCTCTTGTTCC